CTGATCTCTCAACTTCCGCACATAAATTTCAACACACGAATCCAAATTGCTTGAATGATGTGCATATGTATATACAGTATCTACATCTACACACTCATATATATATATCTATATACACACACAAGGTTGCATCGATAAAGCCTACTTATCCAGCTCAAAGCTACATACAAACACAAGGAATGCGGTTTTGATGTAAGTCTTGGTGGCCTTGTCCTGGATGATGATCCTACGCTGCATGACTCTGTCCTATGGTTTTCCTAATTTATTGCGTATATGTATGTATATGCAAAATATATATTACTGTATATTATATATACATACGTATATAAATATATTATGATATATTATATGTATGTATTTATATATATTTATATTTATTTATTTATTTATATATTTATTTATTTATTTATATGATGTTTATCTCACAATCGAGTTGTTGATTGCTGTTGTCCATTCTAAGCTTGTGGGGATCCTCCAGCAATGGGCTCCACCCTTTGAACGTTCGATGTCCTAACTGGTGAACAGGTCTGGGACATGCATGAACGTCAAAGACTTCTTTTGACCGCAACTATCTTCTTTCAAGGTCTTTCAAATCTCGTTCACAAATCATTCCCATGTGTGTTCATTCAATCTTTGTGGCAGCAGCTGTGCCTTACAAATCATGCCCCATCGGCAGCACTAAAATCGCCCGTCACTGTTCTCTCTCTGAGCAAGATAGTCAGCCTGCGCCAGACACAACTGATAGTTGAGGTGCTCTGCGAGAGAAATAGCTGTCTTGGCTTCCGGCTTTGACGAATTTGAACCTGAATCCAACATCTCCAACAGGAATGTTTCCAAGCCACCCGTGGAATTGTAAGGCACCAGGCGAAGCCGTTGGCTTTCGACGTCACTGTAAAAGCGCGGCAACCATCGCGGCAACCCGACGGTGAGCACTCGATCATCTGCGTCTTCTGATGTCGTTCCTGCTGGGGCAACAAAACCGATGTCTTCCAGGAAAGTTTTGAAATACTGCGACGAACCCCTATCCCCCTTGGTCGTGCGGCCTTTTTCGCCGATTTGCGTGTACTGCAACCAACGCTGCGCAGAGAATGTGGATGCAAGTCCATGTTTTTTGCTCAAACCATGCCACTTCGAACACAACGTACCAAAGCCCAACATTTCTTTGTCTATGTCTCTACCCATCTATTTCTCTATTTGTCTTGGTATCTAACTATCTGTCTATGTGTCTATGTATCTATCTGTCTATCTCGCCATCTATTTCTCTAGCTGTCTCTCTGACTATTTATCTATCTGTCTGTCTGTCGATCTATCTATTTATCTATCTGTCTGTCTGTCCATCTATCTATGTATCTATCTGTCTATCTATCGACCTATCTATGTATCTATCTATCTGTCTATCTATCTATCGATCTATCTATCTATCGATCTATCTATCTACCTCTCTATCTATCTATCTATCTATCTGTCTATCTATCTATCTATCTATCTATCTCTCTCTCTCTATGTATCTATCTATCTCTCCATGTATCGATCTATGTATCTATCGATGTATCTATCTATCTATCTATCTATCTATCTGTCTGTCTGTCTGTCTGTCTGTCTGTCTGTCTGTCTATCTGCCTAGCCATCTATCTATCTATCTCATCTAACCAGCTGGCCTCTCTCTCTCTCTCTCTCGCTCTCTCTCTCTCTCTCTCTTTCATCTAATTACCTATCTATCTATCTATCTACCTACCTGTCTATCAATCTCTCCCTTTCATCTGTCTATCTGTCTAGCTGTCTACCTGTCTATCTGTGTTGCAGTGTCATTCAGTGTAATGTAGTGTGGTGTAGTGTAATTTAGTGTAGTGGAATGTACTGGAGTGTAATGTAGTGTAATGTAGTGTACTGGAGTGTAGTGTAGTGTAATGTCCTGTAGTGTAGTGTCTTGAAGCGAAGCGACATCTGAACCTCCAAAAGTGGTCCGAACCCCTAGTGGTTTGTACATTTTGACGCCACAATCCAAAAGTGGTCCGACGCTGGTGTGCTTTGTCCATTTTGACTTCGAAATGTGCTTCGCGCCACAACGGCGTGCACTTTTTCAACATCCGAACCTCCAAAAGTGGCGCGAACATGTGGTGTTTTGTACATTTTGACTTGGAAATGTGCTTCGCGCCACAACGGCGTGCACTTTTTCGACATGGTGTGCTTTGTACATTTTGACTTGGAAACGTGCTTGGTGTGCTTTGTACATTTTGACTTGGAAATGTGCTTCGGCGTGCACTTTTTCGACATCTCAACTTCCAAAAGTGGTCCGGACCTGGTGTGCTTTTGTACATTTTGACTTGGAAATGTGCTTCGCGCCACAACGGCGTGCACTTTTTCGACATCTCAACTTCCAAAAGTGGTCCGACGCTGAGGTGTTTTGTACATTTTGACTTGGAAATGTGCTTCGCGCCAAAACGGCGTGCACTTTTTCATCTCTCATCTGGCCAGCTGGCTCCGCACCCGCCGCTTTAGCGAGCCTACTTTTCGACCCTCCAGAGCCCCAAATCATTGGAAAAACACAGTGTTTCGCGACTTTCCTACCCTTTTGCGCATCTGCATCTTCTTTCTTCTACTCTTCTTTCTTCTAATCTTTCTCTTCTCTCTGCCTCTTCCCTACTCTGCTTTTCATCTGTCCATATTGTCGGAAGTTTGACTTCAAAACTTCCTTCGAATATTAATTATAGTTCCGAAGTTCCAGTCTTACATCTGACAACCGACAGGCATTTTTAGTGTCCAAAACAAGGGTTTTTCCGATCAGGGTTATGAGCCCAAACAATCGTCCCTGTGCTTTTACCCCATGGAAAACATGAGGGCGAGATCCCTACCCCCTGGAAATGATTGTCTGGTTAATCCATTCCATTCGGAAAAGGTCCAAACAGAGTATTTACTCCATGCTGCTCGTCCATCTAACCTGCCTGATGTTTCTGGGATGGACATGGAACAGCCAGTTCAAGATGCTTCACGTTTAGCCCCACCAAGAAGTCTGATGACAGATGCTCCTACAGGGAAGGGTCGAGGTTGCCAAACGGCTGGTGCAATGCCTACGGCGATGGAACCTACTGTGGCTGGATCTGGAAACATGCAGACTGAGGGGAGGCTTCCGGGAGTTGAGAAACTGGGTAGCCCTGAAGTGTCTTTGCAAGGGGATGACTTGCAGCGGGCATTGGAGGTTGAGATGTTGGATTACCTACGGGGAGAAAACTCGAAGCTTACCGATGAGGTAGCGTTTCTCAGAGGGCAACTGAAGTTGAAGTCTGGTGGTAACACAGCTTCTGGGGATAGTTCTCTGGGGGCAGTCCAATTGGGTCAACTTGCCTTTAGCTGTGCGAGAGGCTGCCTGAAAAGACTGAGCGGACCATCGCATCGAAATGAGGAGGGTAGCCGTCAAATATCCATTGAGTCTGATTCTGGGAGCGAAACATCAGTGCTGGAGCTCTATGTCACTGAGTATCAGGGCACAGTCGGGCTCTCAGCATGGTTCTCGCGCTGCAGCGGCTGGGCGATCTTCGGCAGCTGGCTCTCGGGTTGCAGCGGCTGGGCGATCTTCGGCAGCGGGTTCTCGCGATGCAGATGCAGAGCGATCTTCGGCAGCTAGTTCTCGCGATGCGGCGGTGGGATCTACGGCTGCTGGGCGATCTTCGGTGGCTGAGCGTGGATCTAGCGCTGCTGAGCATAGCCCTTGCACTGAGGCGTCTGAGGGAGGCATCATTGCAGAGAATATCCCTGCAAACCCTTGGAACAGATTTCAGAAGGACCATAAAGGTCTAGGCTTGTCAAAACAAACGATGAGCAAAATTTACCAATATGAGAAGCGAAAGGATAAAATGCCTTGAGCCTGAACATAAGGCCGATTTTTCCGGCCTCAATTTCTTTTGAAAAGCTGTGAGAACACAGCGCAATTGGAGAGTAAGACTTCCAATTGGGGGGAGTCCGAAGTTCCAGTCTTACATCTGACAGCCGACAGGCATGTTTAGTGTCCAAAACAAGGGTTTTTCCGATCAGATAGTAATTATACCATTATACACCACAGTAATTAATAGTGATACTGTACACCACATTATTATTATAATTATTATACTATTATATTACCATTATATTAACTATAGTAATTATTTAACCTGGTAATTAGCCTGGTTTTCACACCACAGTCACAATAGCTATAAAAAGAATGTTGATTCTCTATGACTCGACCAGCCTCTGCACCACGGAGCGTCTGCACCGCTCCTCGCCAGAGCCTTGGTTTTTTATGGCTCCAGCAACACATGGCGAGGCCAAAACGGGGCCAAAACCTCAATTTACGGGAATTTCAATGTGTTTTCAATGATCAACTTTGACCATTCAGATGGAAATCATCAACCGTTTTCCAATCATTGGTAAATCATCTCATGGTCTAAGCCATTCTAAATTTGTAAGCCATCCATTTACCAATGCATCCAATATCCAATGGAGAACCTGCAAAGGTCGTGGAGCTCCACAGAGAGGCCTTGGGCGAAAGGCTTGGGGCACGTCAAGGAATATAATTGAAATAGTGGATATATATATATATATATATATATAATGTGAATAATATGAATAATATATAATACTATGTATATAATTGTATATATGATTATATATGTATATATCTATAATGATGTTTACATGTTTTGACAGTATGTGTATGTATATTTGCATATTCAGTGACTGAGGGGTAGTTCATCATCCCAAACTTGCACTCTACACATCAACAAGGCCCAAGCTACACATCACAGATGATCTGAACAACCACAAAAGGCCTTACAAGTATCATGAATGTGGCTGAATTAAATAAAGCTACTGGTATCAACGAATAGACCAGTCATAACAAATCCATAAACCTGGAATGAAATGATTTGAGATGGCTCTCCTTACCAACAATCATTTGCAGTGACTATTTTTTCCGCACAACTTACGGTAAGGATCATAAATGAAATAAACATGCTCACAAAGTATCACAATGCATCTCTTGAATAGCCCCTGGTAATTTCACATATAAAAAATAAATTTCACCATGACCCACAAAGAGTTCGAATGAATTAGCCAAATACCCTCTGGTAAACTAACATAAGTATGGAAAATCACCAATTTTAATGGGGAATCCACTATAAATGGGCAATTTTCAATAGCTATATTGATTTACCAGAGGGTACATTTTCCATAGCGAAACTCATCACTTCGTCCCCCAGGAGCCCCACCAGCAGCAGCAACGCAGTCGGCAAGAAACGCCTAGGCCGCACGAGGTCGTCCAACATCTGGGGGGAAGAAGACAATAAAAAATGTGGGTCACGTTTTACAAACATAACGTGTTTATAATACCAGTAGTACCGCACAAGGCGGTGGCGGAAGTTTCAAAAATGGAAAAACCTATAGGAGAGGTGAGTTGGTGTGACGCAAAATGGCAGAGCGAACCCACTGATGGATTGAAAGGTGGTTGAGTGTTTCTCCCTTTCTGTCTCTCTTTCTCTCTTTCTCTCTGTGTCTCTCTTTCGTCATCTATCTACAGAGCTACCTTTCTAGCCATCTACCTATCTACCTGTCTATTCATGTATCTATCGATCGATTTGTTTATTCACCTATCATCACCTATCTATTAAACTGTCTATCTTTCTGTCTATCCAGCCATTCATCCATCCACTTACTTCTCTCTGTTAGCTTTTTTCCCCGTCCATCTCTTCATCGATCCATGTCCACAGCTATCCATCACCATGTTCTTCGTTCTGTTTCTCTATCGATTCATCCATGCATCTGTCCGTCTACCTCTTCTTCCAGCTATCCATCCATCTATCTAGCTACCCATGCGTTTATCTGGTCATCGACTTTCTCACTTTTTGCAGTTGAAAACATCAAAAACGAAGCAATTCTGCGAGACTTCCTTCAAAAATGGAAAGTTGACTGTACAGCTGACGGCTTCCATGCCATGTCTCTAAAGTACTGCGCCTGCCACGAAAAAGTTAGTCCAGGTCATACGAAATGCTGCACCTGTCACGAAAAAGCATCTTGGCATAGCTGATGATTTGATACGCCAAAATGCAACCCCTCTCAGGAAATCAGCTCCTTGAGCTCCGAACATCTCTGCTGAAGATGCCTCTTGCACTGCGCCTGCCACGAAAAATGCATCTGTGCAGGTCCTCTTCAAATCTCCCACGCCTGCCAGCGTTTTTGAAAATGCTACAAAACCCTCACGTTTTAGTCACTTTTCAGTGGATGCACAATCCACTCCACCTGCCACACAAAACGACGTCTGAACGTCCAAAATGTCTCCGAGACCCTCAGTTTTTAACACTTTTGACTTCGAAATGTGCTTCGCGCCACAACGCAATGCACTTTTTCGACATCTCAACTTCCAAAAGTGCTCCGCGACCGCCAGTTTTTAACACTTTTGACTTCCAAATGTGCTTCGCGCCACAACGGCGTGCACTTTTTCGACATCTCAACTTCCACAATGTCTCCGAGACCCTCAGTTTTTAACACTTTTGACTTCGAAATGTGCTTCGCGCCACAACGCCGTGCACTTTTTCGCCATCTCAACTTCCAAAACTGCTCCGAACCCCTCAGTTTTTAACACATTTTACTTCCAAATGTGCTTCGCGCCACAACCGCGTGCACTTTTTCAACATCTCAACTTCCAAAAGTGCTCCGAGACCCTCAGTTTTTTATACTTTTTACTTCCAAATGTGCTTCGCGCCACAACGCCGTGCACTTTTTCGTCATCTCAACTTCCAAAACTGCTCCGAACCCCTCAGTTTTTAACACATTTTACTTCTAAATCTGCTTCGCGCCACAACGCCGTGCACTTTTTCAACATCTCAACTTCCAAAAGTGGTCCGACGCTGAGGTGCTTTGTACCTTTTCACTTCGAAATCGGCTTCGCGCCACAACGGCGTGCAACTTTTCATCTCTCATCTCCCCAGATGTCTCCGCACCCGCCGCTTTAGCGAGCCTACTTTTAAACCCTCCGGAGCCACAAAACCACGAAAAAACACAGTGTTTCGCGACTTTCCTACCTTTTCGCGCACCTGCATCTTCTTTCTTCTGATCTTTTCTCTTCTGACTCTTCTCCCTGCTGACTGCTTTTTCATCTCTCCATATTGTCGGAAGTTTGACTTCTAAACTTCCTTCGATTATGTATATACATATGATATGTGGGACTATAGTGTATAATATGTATAATATATACTGTCTATATAACACATACAGTATGGGAATACATTGGGATATGAGGGCATACAATCGCTCTAAGTGACCATTGGAAACTGACGAAAAACTCCGCCCAGACGGGACCAGATATTCACTATCGCCACCGAGCATCAACAATCATCCCTGTTTGGTGGTGGTAAACCCCTGAAGAATCTTGGTCATTAGTGATAACCATCCCAAACGGGAGGTTATCAAAGTTATAAGAAACGTGAATCCACCCGCCATTTTTCGTCGATGCATTCACAGACTGGCACCAGACATGCGACATGTCCCCGACTTGTCACTCTCAGCTTAGAACGATGGCATGCCGCATCTGCTAGCTCTTTGCAGCATGACAAAACAAAATCTTCGTGGGATGATGAAATAGTTGACGCCTTGAAAAGGATGTTAAACTTAAACCTGAGGCTTTTGGCCGGTTGCGTCGCCGGCATGTATGTAAATGTTGAATACTGTTGATGTGTACCCAGATTGTGCTTTTCCAATAATTGTTTACAGTACCCAAAATTGGTGTGCCGATTGTTTCACATCACAACTTCATAATTAGCGCCCCAATTCCAACACTGAAACACTTCCAGGTCACTGTTCCATGTCATGATGGCATTTCTTCGCACAGCGGGCCCTGAGCCTCCTAAGCTGTCATAGAAGGGGGACTGAAAATCATCCAGCATCTGCGGATAGTCTGAGGGGTCTCAATTTCTTCGACTCATAGCCCGGCATCATAAGACAAGCAGTTCAGTGGAAAGACAGAACTGCAATCTGGACATCTGGACTGACCTTTTGCAAATGCTTGCCAAGGCATCTCAACGCATGCACAACTGCAGAATTTCTGCAGTCATCTGGTGTTTCTCGGACTATGCGATGTCAAAACCCCAAAATCTGCTAAAATTGTAGCTGCCGTTGTTTAAGTGCCAGAAATGGCTACATTTTTAAGGCTATCAGAGGTCAAATGTGCTTAAGTTCTGTACAGCCCTGCTGTTTGCGGCAGGGTCATACCATGACAAGATCCCAGGCGCTTGCCAAAGGAGTTGAGTTGTTGCAGTGGCTCCAAATGTTGGATGATTAAAAATAATACAATATAATGTTCCAAAGTTGGATCCGGAAGTTGAATTTTGCTTCAGAGTTCTTGAATGTTCTTTCATGTTTCCAATGTTCCTAGCGTGGGGCAGCGCTCACTCATCAATGACATCACCACTGGTGATGACATCATCGATCTTCAGGATCATCTTCACGACCTGAGGTTTGATAGCCCAATCAGTTGGTGATACCTCGAGAGCAGCAAGAGATAGACAAATATATGCGTATAATTGTGTATAGTTGTGTAATGTATTTCATAAGTATTCATAAATCATCATCATCATCATCATCATTAATAGATACATATATAGTAATACATCTACGAATGGTGGATTTGTCCATTGCCACCTTGTCCAGGGCTGGTTGGTTTCCCCGAAAAAAAACGGCTTGTGGCCTGCGTAGCTAGGCGCAACTGGCTGCTCTTGGATGCACAGGCCTGGAACCATAGGTTTGCTGCACCATGCTGTACCAAACCTGGTAACCTTTCAAGCGGCGTAACCCATGAACCGTATATGGAGCCATGAGCCAATTGTCAGCAGAAATCTCCCCACCTCGTACACGTTCTGCTCCCACATGTCCGTGGTCCCAGTTTGCATGCAGTCAACACCTTGCAAGACATGCAACGAGTCCTTGATCATTCCCTCAACGCGTGTCGTTGTGTTGTGCTCCAGTTGCCAACAACCTGCTACGTTCATTTGATTTCACAACTCGACTTCATCTTGTTCCGATTCGCACCCGGTCCCCAGCTGCCCCGATCTGCCCCGCACCATGCCAAGCATTGCCGGTGTTCTCTTGCACGGCCTCTCAGCGAGAAAGGAAAACCGGGAACTGGGTTTGTTCTCCGTCTATCCCCAGTTTCAGGACAAACCCTATATCAACAATTTGAAAGATCAATGGTTGATTCCCAAAGAAACCTGTTTGATTTTTGATACCATAAACACCCATAGACACAGTTCTGATGTTGTTCGGAATCCGCACCACAGATCCCAAACAAACGCGTGATTTTGATGCTTTGGGGGTTCAGGAATGAATGAACCTAATCCGAAATGGCTATTACCTCTAAAATACGACTTGCAACCCACGAAATTATAGGTTTAAAAGAAGAGTTGTTGGATTTCTGGCCAGCCTTGGTTCCGTGGCTATAAATTTTGATGAGTCTTGATGTGTATCCCCGTACATCCACTTTTAGTTGGTCACATGCCCTATCACTGCTGGTGTTTATCACAACCCGTCAGGCGAAATCTGTCCATTTTCCCGTTGTGCGATCAAAATCCAAGCCCCAGAGACCTTTTCGAATGGTGTAGTTTCGTGTGATCTTCCCAGGTGATCCCATAATGTTCTAATTACCTATGATATCCTATGATATTCTTATGATATTCCCCATGATATCCCCATGATATCGCCATAGTTTATTGGTTATATCATTTCCCACCACATCTCCGGCCTTCACTTTGGCCATCTCTGCGATGCCCTGCAGGCCGCTGTTCTCGGCTAGGGCCTGAGCACGATAACTACGAAATAGCTATGGGAGAACTATAGAACTAGTAAATATCGAGTGATCCCAGTTTACTATAGTGTGTTTGAACATTAGTTCTACAATGTTCTTGCATTCATGGTTATTAAAAAAGCTTTATACTACTCTCATTATATATGTTACAGAAGTGTTGGTGAATAAACATATTGGATTCGAATGGGATTATGATGGCAGAATCATTGGGATCACATACATATGGATATTTGGGATGATGTAAAATGAGTTTATTCTTGGCTTTGCCACATGATCGGTTATAAGATGTTATAACATGTTATAACCCTTTGGGGGACTTACCAACCAGTTTATCAACTCAAAATTGCCTATACTTATAACTTAGAACTTATTTAACTTGCACCCATGAGGACTTTTGGGGGGCTTACCAAACTCAGTTTATCAACTAAAAATTGAACCTATGCTTGTAACATCTTACAACTTAAAATTTCTTCAACTTGATTTAACTTGCAACCATGATTCTTACATGGGGATGCCAACCAACAACGGTGGATATGCAGGTTGAACCACCAGCATCACCTATGTAATTAAACAACAGGAATGTTATGGAATGCTATGGAATACTTGTTTTGGAAGCAAATGAATTTCTGATTGTCAATATGCTTGCTGGTGGCTTGATCTTGGGATTTGGAGTGGATTCCAGGGATCCAACGGCATCCAGGGCCACGGACCATGGGAACTACGTCCAGCGCACTGGCGAAGGCCTTCATGCTGTACCTGAACAAAGGCTCCCCAACACACGGGGACGTTCACGGACCAACAAAAGGGGATATGATGGGGATAACATGGGGAATATCATGGGAATGCCATAGGTATAAGATTTCGTCGAACAGCTGTGGGTCAAAAGCCATGCAACCAATATTTCGTAGCATGAACATCCATAACTACCATGTTGTTTGGGAGTTTTGGCCCACATATCGAAGAATACAACTTGCTGTAGTGGAAAACCAGGTGGGATCTATTTAGAGATTTCATCCCACTTCCCAGGTGAAACTTTGGGAGAGTAGCACGGTGCTAAACGGCTCACTGGTCCATGGTCTGCTCCTGGCAATTCCAGGCGTAAGCGGGTTGCATGCTGGTGAGGAGAGGGGTTTCTTATGCATGTATAATATTGTATAATGTATAGCGCTCCACGATCTGATAGAAAAGTTTAATCCTGTGGTGGTAACTTCCTGCTTTATCTTTTTGGGGTTGCTACAATACAATGCAGAAAATTGGCTCAATGATGTTCAATGTAGCGTGGCTATATTTGTTGATGTCGATGTATGGAAACTATCCATCAACACAGAAGAGTCAATACAAACATGTACCGGGTAGCTACAAGGCATGGCTCCAAAATTAAATTTCTTTGAACGCTCCAAAAGGTTAGCGGCTAGCAGCTAGTCACCGTGACTGTTCACCTATTCAAACTTTTACATGGGATTTCCATGGCCTGAGGAAAATTCAACCGCCCCAACTGTGAAAACTTAATTTCCTCCGATTCGTCCTGGCGCAACCGGACACTCTGTTGGATTTTGGGTCAACGACCAGTTGATAGTGGCTGCGTTCAACAACCATTTAAGAAACCAATTTATATGATTTGAAAACGCCCAGTTTTATGTTGATCCCAGCTGATTGTTGATGTGATTGAAAACCCAGTTGATTGTTGATGTTGCTCTTGGGAGACCCAGTTTGGGACTTTTCCCATGTTGATGGCATGGCAACTCCCTTGCCTTGTCCGCAGCGGATAGGACCGCCAGAGATGCGGCCATTTCACTGGCACCTGCTTGCTAGTCTGTGTCTGTGTCACAGAACCAATGATGGCTACACACAATGGAATATAATGGAATACCATCCATGTGTATATTATATATATATATATAATTATATATAATATATCATAATATACACTATTAGCTAACATGTGCTAACATTTGCTAACTATGTCCCATCAATAGTCCCATCAATAGTGGGGATCCTTCGGCTCAATGCTTTTGTCCTGCACTGTACCAATGACCAAAAGTTCACATGTCCATGTCAGCGTGCAAAACAGAGTTTCGTCCAGTAGATGATCTTCCATCTCCCACAGCGACTACATATATGATCCACGATATGAAAAACATCCATCACCATCCACCCCAACTGCAAGTAATTCGAGTAATCATAGTAATTGATATTCTGGTAATTGTGCGAATTGTGGTAAACGATGGTAAAAAGCAACCGCCGGAACCTCCACCAGGAACCACTCGAGGGTCTCGAATGAGATTCCTGTAGCATCTGCAGCAAACCAAGGGTCTGAAAACCTCCTGTGCCACCTTCAAGGGGATCGTTTGTTTGGTTTCTGAAAGGCCCATTGATGTTGTGTCAATTGTTTTTTCCAAATGTTTCATTTATAGAGGCGTGCTGCCAATCGGACAACCAATGGGTAGCTGGTACCAAACCGGCCACACCCCGGCCGTGTGGGTTGTCTGAAACCAAGTGCGTTTAAAATGACCAAGTGATTTGAGGATCCAAATTCTGGTGTGGCAACCATTATAAAGTGAACCAAACAACATGCCATGTGCCTGGACACCCTCGTAAACCCATATATGTAATTGCCCGGAGGGTTTGCCCTATTCCGCCTATCCCTCACCATATCAATTCATTACGAAAGGGCCCATATTTCAGTAGCAAAAACGCCAGTCAAGTCCTGACGCAGCAGTTGGCATCGTGCAAGCAGCGTTTGGCTTCATCGACCACCTGGGTAAATCAGGGGCCTTCGGATTAACCACGCAAACACCGTTCCAATTTGATCAAATTTGCACGAAATGGATACATGAATGTGTACTTACAGGAATCACACGACCTGTTTTAAGCACAAAAACACACCGGATATGAAAATGCCAAACCATGCCAAACCATTCGTGAGGAATGTCCCACAATGATCCACAACGTGTTTCTCGGGGTTCAGCTGCTGCAACAACAATTGACTGCATCGAGCCATATGAGCTTATTGCCCAATCCTGAAACCCAATGACCGCATTCACTAAAGTGATCATATCGGTGCTGGCGCAAGGTCGGAACCAGGTGTCAGCATCAAAGACAAAACTCATAGCACCGGTAATGGAAACATTAGAACAAAAACGTCTCACAAATTGTCATGTTTCCGGTCAACTCATATTAGAAATGTAATCATTTCGCCAAATTTCGCCAAGAGGAAAAGAGGAAAACCATGCTTGCAAGCGTTCTACGGAGAGAAATATTTTTTTAGCGAAAAGGGAGAACTTGGCGCCGCACCATCTGGTTTCCACCGCGCACTAGGACGGTCACAGCTTTGGAGCTCCCGCACTCCTCGGCGACATTATCCAGGTTTCAGGCACGCATGCCAGTCATGATCTGGCGCTGTTAGCACATTGAGGGACGACGTTGGACGGGCCGCAAGAGCATACAGCCCTGGCCTTTGCAATGATGAGGTTTGGCGTACTGCAGCGCTAGGGGGTGTTTTTTCATCAGGCGTCCTTTGCTTGCCAGCGTGGCGAAGTTCCCTGGGTAACCGAAATTATTTTTCCCCTTCAAGCCATGCCCTGCTCCCTTCTTCTTCCTCTTCTCATCCCCTTCTCCATCTCTTTCCTGTCTGCCTTTATGCTGTCTGGGCCACGGGGCCGCGCGGAAGTTGAGGGCGCAAAGGGGCCAAGGAATCTAGGAAGCTTGCCACCTTCAGGCGCTCGTCCACTGTGGCCGTCGTTGGTCACTGCAGAGTTTGGCAACACTGCAACACAAATTGTTGTGGTGCTCTGTGCGGTCGGCTCGATGTCAGGTCAACCGCAGACGTGTCGGTCGGTGAATTTCCACCCTGACTCTCACAGCTTCACAATTTACAGACGGCTGCCCTCTGGGAATCAAGCATGGAAATGGTGCATCTCCTGTAAATGCACTTCTTTCTGAGAAAATTGATGTAGCCGTAGCAAAGAAAAGGAGTAAATATAACTGTTCAAAGGAATTAAAGCAGGATGAATTCTGAGTGTTATTGCCTATATGATGGTTTTCTGGTTCACTTGAACTCCTGCTCTAATTTTTGATCTGAATTGGATGTCTTGGAATAGATTCCGGGTTTTATTCCCTCTTTGTTTGGCCTCCTTTAATTGGTGAATCAAGTTGCGAGTTTTTGTTCTTTTAGTTGACCTCTGTTAGGCGCGATCGTGGCCAATGTGTTGAATTCTGTGGATCCCAGGCTGGCAAGACTTGGTGCTACAGGGTGGCAAGGGCGCAAGACCACAGAAAACTTGGGCGCTACGCTGCTACGCAAAATTCACTTGGGCTTAATGTGTGTCTATTGGTTTTCCTTCTCAGGTCATGTCCTAAAGACTTAAAGCCCGCCAAATTTACCCAAGTTAATCATCATGATTCCAATTCGGGGCATTTACATAAATGAAGCTTCCCCCAATGAAGTTTTTCATCCAAGCGCTGGATTCAATTGAGGCGCCATAAGACATTCCGCAGGTTGAGTTCAAATAGGTTAGTTAACTCCAGCAAACCCTGGACGGACAACGGACAACCTAGCAGAATTATATATCATTCCCAATTCAATTCTTTCTAAAGCCTGAATTTACTCGCTTCTATGGCAAATACATACAAATACAGTGTTCATAGATGCTTGTCTCAAAGAGAAAGTGCGCATAGCTAACAGTCAAAGCTGTGCGACAGCTAAGGCGTCAAGGCTTGTCAGCAGGGTCTAGATCCAAGCACTTCGTGGCCGCTGAAACCTTTTATTTTAGGGTGGCATGACCATGTTTAGGGTCTTGTCTTTTGGGAGAGTTGTCCCCGGTTCCTTGAAGTTGCTTGATGTTGCCAGGGGTTTCCGGGTCCATCTGAAAAACCAGCAGTGTAGGTCACTCGGCATCCTTCCAGGCTTGGGAATTCCGGGTGTCGCCAGGTCGACCTATTAACAATCAAATTGGCAAAATGGTATGGGTAAGGCGAGAACCACAGATTGTTGTTCATTTTTGGCAGGAAGTGATCGCATTTCTGGGATACCCAAAATGATCCATCGCCAAATCAGTGGCTTTGTCAATAAGAATTGGCAAAACACCTAAAAACCCTACAGTCAGTATGTAATAATTTATTTCCCACTTAAAAATGCTACACAATCGGGGGATACTCCACTTTGAGACACACCCTGTTGCCCTAATGCCGCCCCATCGGTCCTCGATGATGAGCATTTGCTCCTTCATCGTGCCGAAAGTCACTTCGCGGACAAGCCCGGCCTGGCGGCTACCACTGAAGGGGGTGTACCATTGAAGAATGATGGATTTTAACCATCAAATATATGTAAGTTGTATAGGTGTTTCCTTTGTATTAAGAAAAGCGAAACAAGGTGTACTGATGAAAGGCTACTGCTGGATAGTTTTTTGAATGATCAATTTCCCGAAAAGTAACATCATAGTAAATCAAAACTTTCACTTCACAACACCTGAATGTCATCACCTAGGTATGGCTTAAAATCTAAGGGCCATACGTTGCCACTGGTATGCCACCTATGTTTAGCATCGACCATCCCGTTTGGGAGGTAGCTGACCTGGCCCGTCTCGGGGGTCACCACTCCCACTGCGTACCTTCCCGAGCTTATCAGCAGTCAGTTCTTCGAAGCGAGGAACGATCCTGTCACCATGTGGAAAATGGAGAGCAACAGCTCCGTCCAACGGGGGGCGAAACAGACCCAAAATGGAGGGGGGGGGCGAAACAAACCCCAAATGGTAGTTATTTAGGGCCCAAACAGTTCTTGATATTACATATTATATACATATATATATATATATGTATGCGTTATATATGCTAAATATTATGTTATGCCTGCATTATTATATCATATCATATTACATTATATGATATCACCCCTATATGTGGTTCACCAGCCAATTCGAGGCCATCCCCTTGGGGAAGTTGCATATGGATATATGATATATGGGAATCATATGAGTCATGATTTAGATCATGACTTCCGTCCTGCCACCTGTGGCGATGGCAATGAGCTCAAGCTCTACTCCACCAACCCACCTGGCGCCGGCGCGGCAAGATCGCTTCAGAGTTTCATCCGGATGAACCGAACTGGCGCCCCTTGCATGGAGAAAATCCACCCATGACTGGGAATGGTTTAGAGCACCTATTTATGGTGATTTGGGGGATGGTTTATGATTATTGTACCCCCCCATTCCAGTGTAAATGGAGGTTTAGTTCGCTGGGAAAAATCGGCGAACTAAATGGGTGATTTTCCAGCAAGCCATGTTTGATTACCAGAGGGTATCACTATTTTAGTACAATGTTACTGTTCTATCTGTTTGGGGTTTCCTGTGATCCTATTTTGCTTATAAACAAGCCCAGAGACCCGGGTTCAGTATCGGATTCTGCTAATTTGGGGCTCCCATTGAATCATTCCTTGATTGGGGAGACTGACGCTATTTCTTGGCAAAAAAAAATGTATAAATTCGGAGTCTTAAACCCACAATGTGGAAATGGATCAAAAAGTGGGTCCCCTCACCCTCAAAGATGGGATGATCGGGCCTCACAGCTGGCAACTTGTTCTGAAAGAGCAAGTGGTTCGCCTGGAAATCACGCTGCAACCGTGTCATCCATGCCATGGGAATCCAAACGCAATGCATGTATATATATATATATTACATATATATTTAATATATATATATATATATTACATATATATTTAATATATATATATATATTATAATATAATATAATTATATAATATATAATATATATAATATATAATATATAATATATTATATATATATAATATAATATAATATAATATAATATAATATAATATAATATAATATAATATAATATAATATAATATAATATAATATAATATATATATTATATATATAATATAATATAATATAATATAATAGAATATAATATAACATAACATAACATAACATAATATAATACAATATAATATAATATAATATAATATAATATATATATAATATATAATATATATATATATGTGTGTTTTTCATCACGCGCCAATGAAGGTGCGCAGCATGACCAAAGGGAAGGAAAACACTGGGATGTAATGATTTCTTTGTATTTACTGAATAAGCCCGGAGGCTGATGGCCAGGATTTTTAGCGACTGAAAGGCCCGCTTGGGGAGGTAGCAGCCTCGACTAGATAATGTACATTAGCATTGATATGTTTGAAATCAGGCGGCATATATGTGTGTATATGTATGTATATATATATATGTATAATTATATATATATGTATGGTCAGCGCCCCCCCCGCCCCCATGACCCGTAACTATGGATATAGGATGGGGGAGCTGAAATGAACATTTTGTGGTTACATCGTTGTTTCCCTCTTGAACCAATTCTGGGATATGGTGGTTGATTTTGTTAAATGCTTGGGAGAATCACCCAGTTGATGCTATGGCCAAGCTTGGTTGTAAACTCAAATGAACAAATCCACTACATTCCAGCAGGGTTTCGTTTGGCGGGGATTTGTATCAATGCCAAGTTCGTATTAACAAAGCCCCCCCCAGAATTCAATGGGAATTTCAGGATCCTAAAATGGAGGTACTGTACCACATAAGACCATATTTTATGGGGATATTCCGTTACATAGGCCTTACATAGGCCTTACATAGGCCTTATATATGTTAGGTATCTCCAATTTAGGTTCCTGAAATGGCAATTGAAGAATGTCTAGATCCAAGAGAAGGTTTTCACCCCCAAATAATGAGCAGCAAAACCAAAAATGGAATTCATGAGATTTCGAATGGGGTTCATGAGATTTAGTATGATAAATGGTTCGAATCCAAAAAGAATAAGGTCAAAAGGATTCAAGACCTAGCAGCCATCAGCAGATTGAAGCAAAGTAGAAAGAATCAGCAGTATGAGGCTAGGGTAGCTGACGGTGTTCTTTAATTGGGGGCGCGCATGCACTTTATTTGGGGGACAACCCGCCAAAAGGGGTACCCTTTATGTGCCTCTCAAAATGAAATTTGTTAATAAGAAGTGAAAAGGAAAATGCAGTTTTTTTTCAATCATAATTTTTGCAATTTTCCTAGATGTTGGGGATTCTGTGAGACGGGTGTGCATTTGCAAGCTTGTGATCAGACAAGCACCTAATATATAATGTTAAGTTCATAATTCATATTATATAATTAAACATGTCCGAATTAATCAACACCCACAATCCAAAAAATTGTTGGTAGTACTACTTTGGGTTGGTCCCCCTCTTTGAATTAACATGAGTGGTCACACCCTATTAAAAACAACCTTCTGGAAAATCCATGTTTTTTGGGTTGTGAGAAAGTAATTTGCTTCTGATGTTTCTAACCTGATGGTTCTGGTGCTGGCTGATACAAACTGCTGCTAATGGTGCTGCTCATGGGTGCTGCTAATTCTTTCTCTTTACCCCCCGTCCCATTCAGCTCATTGCTGCATTTTTTCCAGGACACAGCCCATATAAAAATAAACGAACTCAATTGTGCAACATTGTCTCTGTACATGTGTATATGTATATACAATGTGTACATATATCATACTCACTCCATAGATATACATATCATGTATGCACCCATGATGAATAATGTCAATCTGTTCAAAGAATCACATATATCATATGACATATGTATGTATCTACATATTACATACATACAATACAATACAATACATTACATTACATTAGATGCAAACATACATACATACATTAATACATTAGGCATATGGGTTTGTCTGAAAATAGGGTATATTCTCAAACAAATAGCCATTTAATAGGGATTGTCTGATCAGCAAAACCATTGGGTAAAAAGGGGTACACTATTTTCAGACACACCCATATATGATATATTTAATAGGGAAAATCCACGATTTCTATGGCCATTTTCAATAGCTATGTTAGTTTACCAGAGGGTACATGATATGTCTACCAGTTGTAGCGGCCTCATCATCGAAGCCCCATTGGCAAATCACCAGATTTGCCCCCGAGTCCTGGCGGACTTGGGGAGCCGGAGCGGACTTGGGGATGTTCGCCTCCAAATGGCCTTTGACATATGGGAAAATATGGGGAAAATATGCTTTTTTTAAATGATTATGGCATCATAATCATCATAGTAGGATATGGCAGTGTGTCAAAACCAATAGTACCCCTTCTGTTCACATCAAAATAGCTGGGTTAAAATGGATGTGAATAAACCCCTAAAAATGGTATTTTCATAGGTATTGATCCATACTATGGGGAACATGATGGGAAAATGATGAGAAAATGGATTTTTCTTCGGCTCAAGAAATTGGAACATGGCTCTGTTTTCTGACACACCAACTCCAGAGGGAGTCACTTTTTTTGGTACTCCGGACTCCATGGAAAACATGATGGAAAAAAATCGTCATTAGATACCAAAAAAACGGTTCCAATGTTGCGGGGAATATCACCCAGAGTTGCAGAGGTATTGTTCTTGGGCCAAACTGTAGACAATCATGATAATGAGAATTCCTTGGCCTTTGAACCAAGAAAACAATATTGTGTTGGTACAAAACTACAGCAATCTACACTATCATGTATGGTCCTCCCATTTTGAATCAAACTCCATACATCACGAGTCCGGCTGGAAAGTGGTGTGACACTTTTCCATGGCGAAAGATTTCCCAAATCACTCCAAGGTACTGAAAAAGCCAGTGGGACTTGACTTCCACTGCCCATTCATCTCAGAAAAGTTTTGCTAATTCCCCTGATTTAAGATCCGCCAATGGTGGCGATTCCCGCAGTAGAACTAGCCGACTACCTATGGTGACGTCCGCCAGGTTGCTTGAGTTTGCCCAGAATCCATGGTTCAAGCCCAAACTCAGGACCTGAATGAGCTTGATCTGGTCTCTGAAGTACCTCCACCATGCTGCCCCTGTTTGGAAGGGAAAACTCACGCTTTTTATTACCAGAAATATGTATATGATATATATATAGATTATTCTCAAAACAAGTTTATTAGTGGGCTTACAAGTGCTTACATGGGCTTACACTACTTGTTGATCATTTGTCATTACACAAGGGTTCTTTGAGTCGCCCCCCACATCTGCGCACTTCTGCTCGTGCTCATAGAGCTTCTTGTAGTCCTCACCGGATCGGATGTCCAGCTTGTGCTTGGTCTTGGGCCTAGCTGCTTCCCATCAGAGCTGGTCTAGTCACCCATATCCAAGGCTTACTAAAACTCGCCTTGGTGGATTGAGTGGATTGACTGGGAATTGCAGACTGCAAAGAATCGCTAGCCGCTAACCTTTGGAGGCACCTGTGTATGTATATGTCAAAAATTGTGACTTGGATGTATGTATATACAAATGCATATATATATAATATGGCGTATCAAGAGTCTTCGCTCTTCCGCAGCGGTCTTTCGACTGTCTTCGAATCTTTACATCAAGAGAAGTGACGAGTATGGAGGATGGTAGAAACCAAAAATGCTGAGATCGAATCCAATGCTGGACCAATTGCCATAGTCCATCAAGCATTACACAACTGTTGACCCTGTGTTGGAGCTAGAGGTCCCAACTTTGGCGGCTCAAAGGGGCAAGTCAAAATTGCCATTTTGGCATCCTGTGGCCGCAAGGCGCAAGATGGGTCATTTTTTGGTGCACTCCATCAGCAGAAATTGGATGAAATTGGTGTTATCTAAATCTGCGCCACCCAGGGAGAAATGAATGTGGCCACTCATTTCCAGGGGAATCTGGACAGTCGCGGTGGAGTTTCCCCCCCTTCTCCGCCGGCCTGTCCAAGAACAGTCTGGGCAATCTTTGAAATCTCGCAAAATGGCCTCTATCGATTTGAGTATATAATTGTTGGCTCAGAAATAAACCCCAACAACAAAAAGCCAGCTTCCATCAAAAAAAATGTAAACTGGGATTCCCAACAAATATCAAGTTGGGCTTGTCCAAAAATAGTGGATTAGCCACAATTTACAGCCACTTCAACGGAAAAAGGGTGTTCTAAATCATCTATCCCCATCCCCATCTCCTTCACAGACTTGGGCATCTGTGGGTGACTGAAGTCCTTGTCCACAACGATGCCCTGAATCAAACAGGTGTCCTCAACCAAAGAGAAAAGCATGATCAAATGGCTTTGAAACTAGGGTGCCCAAAAAACGAAACTGTGATTAGGGTGACCGTCATTTTCCCCATTCGAATTGCAATACTTGGGGGTATCCCTGATCTTGAGACACCAAATGACTCAAATCACTCAATCAAGGCCATCGGGGTCGAAACGTTCAGACACTTCGCATGTTTTTCCAGGAAATATCCAACAGATCAGATGAATCAATGATGTAAAAAAAAAAAAATATTCTATTGTGGGGAACATAATCCAATGAATTTCTGTTTTCGTTAATATCATTGAGTCTCATCCCTAGTTTTGTCATTTGCATACCCTCTGGTAATCATGGCAACGGAAGATCCACCATCAGTGTGGGGACTTCCCAGCTTGCCACATCTTGCCACGTTGGATGACACCGGTAATTCTCAAACAGCTCGTGGTCCTCCAACTTGCCACCAACTTTGCCCTCAACCTGACTTCCCAAGGGCCGATCACGCACGAATGTTTCTGTTGAATTATTTTAATAGATCCTGACAGCCCTGACACGTTTCAAGTTCAACAACTTCCAACACTAGAAACAATATCCCTTCGCCTTTAACCCCGAACAGCTCGAGATGATTCTTGCGCACCTTGATTAGATCAAAGTTCACGTCTTTGCGCTGAAGATCGCATACCTCGCAGGGAAAAGCCATGGCCGGGACAGGGCCTTCTATCAGGGCCATGGCGGTTCTCAGCCCATCCGACACTGTCTGGCGCAGTTGTTTTCTGCGCTGCCCGGGTTCAGGTTGGCGCTGAAGAAAACTTGCAGATGTGTCACAGGTTCCTTCTGGATCTGTCAAAGCGCAGGAACAAAGACGAATTGGCGAAAAGATGCTTGATTTTTTTTCCCAATTTTTGCTAAGTTATCAGGGTGACCCAGGAGAACTCTATGAATGTGCAGGGTTTTCTGAATTTCTGAAGCTCTCTTTGAGAGATGGCAGCTATAATCCTTGCACATCATCGCCTTCAGCCGAGTCCGAAGCAGAGAAACATAGGCTGAACGTGAATTTACCAGTAACTACGTAGACATTGGAGCTGCGTTGCCCCACAGCACTCATCGCGATGCTACATCGGGGCCATTGGCATTCTTTTCGGTGCTGTTGTTGGTGCTATTTGTTGCGTTGGTGCCTTGTGAAGAATTGCTGCTGTTGCTGGCATTGGTGCCAGTGGCATTCTGTTCGGTGGTGTTGCTGGTACTATTTGTTGCGGTGGTGCCTTGTGAAGAATTGCTGGTGTTGCTGGCATTGGTGCCGGTGGCATTCTGTTCGGTGGTGTTGCTGGTGCTATTTGTTGCATTGGTGCCTTGTGAAGAATTGCTGCTGTTGCTGGCATTGGTGCCAGTGGCATTCTGTTCGGTGGTGTTGTTGCTGGTGCTATTTGTTGCATTGGTGCCTTGTGAAGAATTGCTGCTGTTGCTGGCGTTGGTGCCAGTGGCATTCTGTTCGGTGGTGTTGCTGGTGCTATTTGTTGCGTTGGTGCCTTGTGAAGAATTGCTGCTGTTGCTGGCGTTGGTGCCAGTGGCATTCTGTTCGGTGGTGTTGCTGGTGCTATTTGTTGCGTTGGTGCCTTGTGAAGAATTGCTGCTGTTGCTGGCATTGGTGCCGGTGGCATTCTGTTCGGTGTTGTTGCTGGTGCTATTTGTTGCGTTGGTGCCTTGTGAAGAATTGCTGCTGTTGGTGGCATTGGTGCCGGTGGCATTCTGTTCGGTGGTGTTGTTGGTGTTATTTGTTGCGTTGGTGCCTTGTGAAGAATTGCTGCTGTTGCTGGCGTTGGTGCCAGTCGCATTCTGTTCAGTGGTGTTGTTGCTACTATTGGCATTTGATGAGATGTAGTCGCAATCTTGACAGGTCTTTCCTTAGCATGGTAGCAGCTCAAGAGCACAATGGCACTGGGAACATCTGGGAACAACCGCACCCAAGTTCTTTGCCAAGTCTCCGTTCGTTGTGTTACTGTGATGTTCCTCCTTCAGCGAAGCTCGGGTTTCTCAAAATTCAGGGCCTCAAATCCCTTCGTTGTTTAAAATATGTGGAGTATTTTGGTAGGGGAACTCTGAAAATAGGTAAGCAACATCCCAAGTTTGAGATGGCCATCACCACTCACTTGTGGTAAGCAAAACGTGCCAGAAGAATCCAATCATTCTAAGCCTATTGCCATTAGCATATGTTTCATGCAACCAGCTCTACAACCACTGAGCCATCCACAAAAAAAATGGCATTGCTACTTTTTCACCTGAACTACTGAAGTTTACCATGGTTTACCTCCTGTTTCCAATTGCAAGTTGCACCAAATTTAAGGGTTCAGCTGGCAAGTTGCCCCGTTGCCATCTCCCCAAGCAGTCCTCAGCTCTTGTGGCCTACGGCATGGCATGGTAAGCTGGGAAATCCGATACGGGTAGGGAAACATTTAGCCGCCAACGACTATGTGTGTTAATATATGTGTTAATATATATATATATATGTGTGTGTGTGTTCCCTGAAACCAATCCATTGTTTCTATTACTGTATATGTACTATCTATATATATATATATATATTTGTTATACATATATCATATTGTATATATTATACTATATACATATATATATATATATATGTATATTATTTGGAGGGACCTATTTTTCAGCTTACCATCCCATGACTTCGACCCTGGTCATGTCGCCGGGATGTGCCTTCTTGGAGTCATTCATGTACTGATCGTAGACCTGACGTGTCACGGGTAGTGCTCAACCGAGCAGCTGACGCGCTGTCAGAAGGGATAGCATTGCGGCAAAGAAACCGGCCCAAAAAGATTGATTCACCATGATTCACCATGATTTACCATTGTTTAATATTGTTTACCACCATTTTAGTAGGATTGAAAGATAATGTCCGTCTTGCTGTGGATTGCTGTAGTGGTGCAAAGCAAGACAGCCCGGATGGGCTTCAGAAGAACCATGGTCCGAACCTGCGAGTCAACGGTGTCAGGTAGGTCAATGTTTCTTTTTGATCCATGGTGATGATACCACTCCCTTCCCGCCTTCCCATGTTCTCGAAGCAAGTCTCCCAGCATCTCCTACAGGGATTTTATAGAGAAGTCGTGTGGGGTTGCAAGCTTCTTTCTGCTGCTCCCTTCATCTGTCAGGAAACACGCGAACACATCTCTTGTAAAGACAATAAATGCCAGTGCACCTAGTATCATTGCGATGGCAAGTGGCAAGACACTGCTATCAAGAGACCTTTCATGACCCTTCAGATAGACTTTCTACCTTGAGATTGCGGAATGAAGCTTGGACGACTTGCGATTCCATGTGGATATTGAACATATAGACGTACAGACAGGCCCACTGTTCTGAGTATAAGCAGAACACTCGTCCTCGAAGGATTGATTGTCCTGTGCGAGCGGTGGCTCAGGTCTTCCCTAAGCGACCAGACTTGCAGGTTTCGAGTTAGCACGCTTGCGCTGTACTCTGCTCCAAGATGATGCAAGATGTATTTCTTGGAATGTGTCTATATATATATTATGTATATATGTATGTATATATATTATGCACATATATACAGAGTTTGAACTTTCTGAATCCATCAGATGGTTTCCAGGTGAATTCAAAGCCCTCATGGTGAATCACCAGCACACTGTCTTACTCGGACCTCCCAGATGGCGCTGGTCTGTAAAGCCTCCCGCAGCAGAAGCTTCGGCAGGAAGAGGGGAGTAGGAATGTGGTTTTCAGACATGTTTGGGATTTGCTGTAGTGTTTAAGATCCCCCCAAATAGATAATTTTTTGTTAAATAAGTTACATGATGTTACATGGGGTATGGCTGAATGAAAGCCATGGGGCATGGGTGATTGCTTTATTCTTGTGAGATCATGTCTGATATATTCAACCCCCATGGCCCCATGGTTGCTGGACTCCACACCTTGCGCTGCTGCAGCAGCATCAATCGACAGCTCTGGTTGCGGCATTCATTGATGGCTGCTCCACCTGCAAGGCTCAATGTGTTGTGACACCTGTTGGATCCCATCCCCTTGGTCAAAAAAGGTCTGTTTGAGTACCCTCTGGTAATTTAAAATAGCTATGGAAAATCACCATTTTTATTGGGAAAACTCACTATAAATGATCATTTTCAATAGCTATGTTAGTTTACCAGAGGGTATCAGAAGCCAACTTTTTCAGGACATCCACAGTTTTGGGCATTGCCCAGGCCCTTTTGTGCACCTTTGTAGCAGAACAGCAGCGTTGGCCACAAAGACAGCCACGGGCTGCGAAGCATTGCGGCAAGCCGACAAAACAAAAATATCTCCAGTGGATCTCTAGTGTTTGGCTGTCACATGCCATCTATTTCTGCGCTTTGCAGACCTCCAGAACCAGCCACAAAGCTATGACCTGTTGAGATTTAAAACCCTTGCTCTTCCTGTAAAACTCGTTACGCTATACGGATCTGGGAGCCAAACAACGAGCCCGGAAGAGAAAGAAACCTGGATCTATCGTTAGATCGACAATCCCGGATCATTCAGGATTCCGGGGAGGAAACAACCCAATCATATACCAATATACCAATCGTATCAGCAAACACATAAACAGAAAGACTATATATTGTATACTGGATCAGTTATACTGGAAACATATCATCAAACATCTGGATCAGTTATACTCCCATTGTAATCCATTGAAAATCCCCATTAAATCCGCATTAAATCCCATTCGATTCCATTGAATCCCCATTGTAATCCTCAAGACTCGCCATGACATCCCCTGAACTCGGGTGAACTCGGCATCGTTCTTTTTACCTCCGACTTAGAGCTCGTCCAAATCGATCTCTTCGTCGGACCCGGATTTGGACCCAGGTCGCTTGCTACTCCGAGCGCCTGGCCATATCTTTTCGTGTACTGGAGGCTAACTGATACATGTCATGTGTGATGAAGATTTCAAAAAATGATACTACATTGTCATCATATATTGCAATATCACATATATATATATATATAATATGAAAATAGATGATGATAACAATACAAATCAGTTGTCATATATATATATATAAATGTGTGTGTTGGCAAATTATCATATTTCACTATATAACCTGAAATAAGGTCATTTGGGGGGATGATTCCGCGAATCTTAACCATGATTCCAGGCTTCGGTCACAGTGAGGCGATTGCGGCAGGCTATAGGTTGTATATCCGATGGGATATATGGATTTAACGGGATTAAAACGGATTTTTATGGGAATATCATGGGAATTACCCTCCGGTCATTTAACATAGCTATGGAAAAGGGCAAAACTGGTGATTTCCCATAGCTATGTTAAATTACCAGAGGGGTAATATCCCCTGATTTTTTAAAAAAAAACAGTTTGAAAAACATATATATATATATGATAGAACCCCCAGTATATCCCCATCATATCTCAAGTGGCACCGCTTATGAAAAACACAAAACATGACAGCGGTGCCACCGCCGTCCCCTGCAGGGACATCCCAGGTCATGGACATCGGCATTCCGGGCATCCCAGGTGGCAGTCCATAGCCTGGCCCCAGGGCTGCCATTGGAAATACGGGAAATATACTAAAAATAGCCATAATGTCATAGAATATATCCTTAAAAAGATCTAATAGAAAAATTAGACAAACATACAAAAAGCTATTGAAAATAACCATTTATAGTGAGTTTACCCATTAAAAAATGTGATTTTCAATGGTTATGTGGCTGTTTACCAGAGGGTATTAGAACACCGTGATTACTCTGACTCCTGGGGAGTCAAATGAGTCTCTATCCCATGGCCACACGCTGAATCCTGGGAAGTTGAAGGATATATTAACATACACTCACATAAATATACGGTCATATATAATTATACATCATAGATCATCATATGTATAATTATACATCATAGATCATCATATATATATACAGATATACACATCATATCTGATAGATTATACTAATATATATATATATTTTTTAGTGTGTATCCCATTAATATAGTACATTGATACTATAGATATAGATATATATATATATATATATCGTTGATAGATTATATATGTGTCCCAACGCTCCCCCCAGCCGGCCTGCGCGTTGGGACCACCTCGGGAGCACCAGCCAAGATCTATGGATCCCATGGATGGTTTGTTGGTAACTATGTGCATCATATATATATATATACATCATTTATGTATATATATATATATCATTTATGTATATATATATATATCATTTATGTATATATATATATATATCTCATTTATGTATATATATATATATATCATTTATGTAAATATATATATCTATATATATATCATTTATGTATATATATATATCATTTATGTGTATATATATATATATCATTTATGTATATATATATCATTTATGTGTATATATCTATATATCATTTATGTGTAAATATCTATATCATTTATGTATATATATATATCTATATATCATTTATGTATATATATCTATATATAATTTATGTATATATACATATATATATCATTTATGTATGTATATATATCATTTATGTGTATATATATATATATATCATTTATGTGTATATATCTATATATCATTTATGTATATATATATATATATGTCATTTATGTATATATATATCATATATGTATATATATATATATATCATTTATGTGTATATATATATATCATTTATGTCTATATATATATAATTTATGTATATATATATATATATCTATATACAGTTTATGTATATATATACAATTTATGTATATATATATATATATACAATTTATGTGTATATATATATCATTTATGTATATATATATCATTTATGTGCATATATATATATATCATTTATGTATATATATATATATCACTTCTGTATATATATATATTATTTATACACATATAGATATAGATATTTATCTATATGTGTGAATAATATGCATAATATATGATGTTGTATGAATGTGTAGATGAATATGTATGTAGTATGTAGAAATTATGGGTTTCATTTGAATCATCCTAATAAATACATATATATAATTATATATACATATGTATATATATATACCGATCCGTATGTCAAACTCATCATACTCATTCTGAAAAAGAGTTACATTCACGTTTCGAGCCCAGAGGGAATTCTCTACCATTTGCAAAATCAGCTAACCCATTTGGGTAAACTGACATAGCTATGGAACATAACCCATTTGTAGATGATAAACACATTAAAATTATAATGTACCTCTTAACAATGCTGATGTCACACATCGTTTTGTAGGTTTCCCCCAGCAAATCCCCAGTTCATCCAGGAGAAAATGTCCACCACCCCTACAGTAAGCCACCGGACATGGCCCAGGCGTCATAGCCAGGATATGTGGCCTGCGGTAGCGGCTGCACCTAGGCGAAGCCACCGAGGATGAGAAATTGGAGGTTTTTTTTGGCTCGTGAATGGACAATGAATGGTCAGTTGGATTACACATTTAGTGTCATTTAGTTGGATTACCAATTTAGTTGGATTATATTACCCATGATATTTGGTGTGTAAAATTATAATTGTTTATATACTGACGGTAATACATGCGTCACACCCCGTGTGTTACGCAAAGGACAGCGTTGCCCCAATGAGGTAATGATCCTGAACCCTCCGGTAATTTGTTACGGTTCGCTATGTGTTCGCCAAGTGCCCATGTTTTACTTCGATGATTTACCGTTCTTAAAAATGGTGAATTTACCCAAGGCAAATGGTGAAATTTACCCAAGGCAATCATACCTCGCACAGGAAGGACAGTTGCAAGTTCCGAAAAGCCCCAGTTGATCCCAAGAGTTGTTCAGTGGCTAAGCTCCCCACCCTCCACTCAGGTGGTTGCCTCGATGTGTTTCAAGCCCAGCCGAGCATCAGCGAACTAGTCATGATTCGGTCTCTTCAATTTTCTTCACATCATCTGTTTACCATTGAAACCGCCATAGATCGGGGTATCTAATCTGATGGTATCTGCAACATGCCAAGATTTACCATCATATGTTTACCATATATAAAAACCTAATCTGATGCTATCTGCCAGGTTTTCCCAGTTAGTTTGGGACATGCCTTAAATATCTCCAGCATCTGAGCACAGGGCCCTGCGCGATCCAAGATCTGCGGAAGACGGCGGGAACCCATTTGGGGATGGCTGATAATATATAACCCATTTATCATCGTTGATTGGATGGTTAATATACTGTTAATAATGGCTAATATATGGTTATTATATGGTTAATGATCATCATTTGTCATCGTTGATCATCATGTGTCATCACTGCACTTATCATCATAATTTAGAGCTGTTGCCAAAACCCCAATGACGTTTGTTCTATTCAGTTCGTTCTTCTCTTTCGCCATTTCTTTCCCGAACCTTTCGCGGTGTGCGTTTTTGCTTTCGCGGAATCCATGTGTCTGAAATCCACTTTCTCGAGCTTTCGTGGAAAACTCCTGAAAAGAATCCCGTGTGTTGCTTAGTGAAACGCATACTGAACATGTGCTGCCACATGTTCCCTCCAAACCCCGGTTTCGCCCACACTCAAACAATACATCCAAGCAATATGATATACTATGATATACTTATCACCAGAGGATGAATGGAAACACTGGCTATACGCAGTGATTTTGACTTTAAGTTTTCAGGATTTAGGGTTTTGATTTTTAGATATTTTTGGGTTTTAGGGTTTTAGGGTTTTAGGGTTTGTTGTTCTGGAAAGTAAAAAGAATTAACCCTACGCAGGGTATGCGGGATTCGCCACGGACAAACCTAGGTTCACAGCGCACATGTTTTATCAATGGACTTTGTTTTTTTTGCCACAGTTGTCATTGCGGCAACACCTGGATTGACATTTTCATCTGGTGTCCGGTGGTCGGTGGCCGGTGCCGGTTGGCCGGTGGTTGGTGGTTGCCTGTAGAGCTTTGTGCAAAACTAATTTCCGGGGCGGGTGCCATCCCAGCTAGTCGAGGCTTTCGCGGATCTTTCGCAGAGCTTTGGTGAAGCTTTCGCAGATTTTAGGGTCACATCTACAGAAAGTTGTCAATAATTTAATCGTATGGATCGGAATCCAGATACATCTGACGAAGCTATTTAAGCCAGGATTTTGAGCTTTGAAAATTTCTTTCGCGAGCTTTCGCCGAAGCAAATCTTCGCAAAAGCTTTCGCGAATCGTTTCGCGAACGTGGTTTTAGCTTTCGCGGAGCCAACTTACTTTAACCGCCCTTCAAATCACCACTTAGTTTGTGGGGCTTTGGTGGCTGCTCATTTATCATCATTTATCATCATTTATCTTCATTTATCTTCATTTGTCTTCATTTATCATGTTTATCATCATTTATCCACTTATGCTCAACTTGGGACTGGTTTATTCTTGGCTTTACCGCATAGTGAACACCCAAATAGCTGGTAGATGGATGTGTGTACCCAACGATGGTCCTATTGGCCAAGGATGAATCCCTTAGACAGAGCGCTGCTTGTTTATCTCAAAATATGGAACCGTCTGTCATTGGGATAACATTTTGAGATACAGACTATTTGATCTGAAAATGAGGGATATAGCATGATATATCATGATATATCCATATGGAACATGTTGAGATCATTTTGAGATCAACCCATAGTTCTTCCTGTCTCCATCCTGTATTCAAGCTGGGCTTCTCTCCGACCATCACATGACGCTCCGCCTCTCGAAGTAAGTACTTCGCCCTGATGATGGCGTCCGGAGAGCCAATCAAACCTTGCGGACGGTTAAAGAGAAGATTCGTTTAAACTAGATGTCCCCTATTGCGAGCATTTCAAATCAGATTCTCATAAAACCTCGGGGGTCCACCTAAGGCCTGTTTGAACAAATCTCCAAAGCTTTCCACGCCAAAACAGGCACCAGCACGGACTCTTCTGGTACAATCCGGTACATGTAAAACAAGCCTAACCCTGGTTGGTGATGGAGTGCCATGCTGTGACAAATTCCATCACTTAAGTTCCCAACGCACCGGCGAGGGATCGAGCTGATTGTTGACGTCGATCTTCGCCCCACTCTCTCCTAATGGCAACGAAGAAATCATCGTACAGCCACCACCAAGATCCCTAAGGTGGATGCCAGGTAAAACATGGGCTGCTACAAGCCAAAGAACCAAAGCCAAAATCCCATCCACCAGCAAACCTTCAACGGGCTAAATCTCTATTCAAAAAAAACACTTCATTTGAACTGGCAGGGAAACCTAGAACCTTTCACTGCCATTTTAGGTAATGTTGAACCATCTAAGAGCCCCCAACCAATGTTTCATGTCAATCCGCACCTTTGGGCACCTCCTATTGCCCTCAAATTTCGCTGGACAGTTTCCCGTTGTAATTTGACTCCCAAATCCCAACTCGTGATAAATTGCTGGGTGCCGGTGTGTTTGGGCAAACCGAAATGATTGCTGGTTTTGTATCCTATATCATGTCTCCATAACATGTAGCCCCATATCCCCCATCACTTTGTTGATTAAATCCCGTATATCCCTTCTTGTTGCTAGTTATATCCCCATGTTGGTTGGTGATGTGTCTCTCTATGATATGTAAAAAAAACGAACATGAAGCCCAAAAAGATCGTGAAACCCTACCAAAAGAACGGTATATATAAACTACTGTTCTACCTTTTTGGGGGATGACTATACTATACAGTATCAACCCCAAAAAAAGATAGTTGGTATTTCTTTCATATTTTCCAGCTTTCTCACGTGTCAACTTTTTTTGGGGGCATGACTTAGCTGTGAAATCCCGCATTTGAAATGCATGGCAAGCATCTCTGTAGCCGTTGCACTGTCTCCCCGCCTTTGCCAATCACCTGGCGTCGATGACACTCAGAAGATACACTTGAGGCACCCAAAGTCGGATTTTACCACCCCAAATCTGCCGTGGCGTGGCGAAAATTCGGACTTCGCCAGTACTCACAATGTGGATTTAATATGATTTAATATGGTTTAATATTATTTAATATGGTTTAATGGAATCAAGAATCAGGATGGCAGAAACAACATATGAAAGAGTTTCCCGGCATTCAGAAGGGAATTCAACCAACGAATGTGGAGGCATCGTCGCATCGTAGTAACTGGTGATCATCACCATCAACACGGCCAGGCATACCCGGCCCACCATGGAGAATGGAATGTCAACCCTGGGCGGATTGGATCTTGGGACCAGCGGCTCAATCCCACAAACAAGATAGATTGATACATTGTATGTGTCTTTACACAATATATTATCATATAGATTGATCGGGAGAACGTGTTTGGTCGCCCCAATGCTTTTGCTGATTAGGATGCGCTCAGTGTGTATACAGTTGAACACGAACGTTATTAGGGGGCTTGTGAAACGTGCACAACTTCTGTGACACATGCACAACTTCTGTGAAACGTGCACAACTGCTGGGAAACGTGCACAGCTGCTGGGAAACGCGCACAACATCTCTGACACGTGCACAACATCTCTGAAACGTGCACAACATCTCTGAAACGTGCACAACATCTCTGACACGTGCACAACATCTCTGAAACGTGCACATATAGAATACTTGAAAACACTGGGTGGGGGCGGTGAAACACGTTATACTCAGATTGATATATTACTGTAATTATTATAAGCAGATGTGTATGTGTATTAAAAAGACATACTGTAATATAATTATATATATATAGGGGTACAAGTATGAGAGTTACCTGAGTATAGTAGGGTATCATTCATTAGCTTCATACTTGGGGTCTGAAAATGGAGGTCGATGGCCATTTAAACAGGGGAAAATGATGAAAAAGAAGGAAAAAACGTGCCAAACCACTGGATTTAGAGGTATCCGCAAACCCATGGGATCCTTGATGCTGTTGGCATGTACCCAATTCTGATGGTCTTGAAGCTTGGTTTGGAATCGGCCCAATGCTGATCTTCACCAAAAAAAAGGGACTGTCACTGCGGACCTGCGAAAACAATAGACTGGTTTCCAATAGAGGCATTGACCATTTGGGCTGCGATGTACGTCTTGAAATACAATCAGTATCATGCAAAAATACATCAGGGAGACATGTCAAATCATCCAAAAAATAGATAAATGACTATGTGGGTTTGTCTAAGAATTGTGTGTCTCTAAATACACTGCTCAATCATGATTTTCCCTATGATGTTTTTTCCATTTTGGGGTGCATATCCCATTCTCAGACAGGCCCAAATAGTCATAGTTGGTAAAAATATCCTATTAGATCCCCATGAAATCCCATTGAATCCCCATTTTTGATGGATAGAATCCATCATCAAATCACCCAGAAAAACCGGGCTTGGGACCCTGAGCATCCCCACGTCTCTTCCGCTTCTGTCAGCCGGACCTCAGGCCGCTCCGTTCGTTCCGTTCGCCGAGCAGGCGGCGGGTGCTTGTCCTGGCGGAATCCCCGAAGGAAATGGAGAAAATCATGGGGAAATCCATTAAAATAATGAAACTATCTATCTAAGTTTATGGTTGTGACCCAACAGAAATGGAGGTTTATAGCTTTCGGAATATCGTCGAACTAAATAAACGGATTTTCCTGCTGGCCATGTTTGATTACGGGAGGGTTCTCATACACCGTTTAGCATCACCCAGAATAGCTGTGAAATATGGGAAATTATACTTCCCTTGTTTTTCCTCAGTTGAAAATTCTTGGTGGCTTTCTATTTCACTTTATGGTGTCGGAAAATCTATGGTTCGTAGATGTTGATGGTGGGTCATTCCCCGCCGAAGCACCAGTAACGGAGGTCATCTGAGCGATGGAACTCTGCTGATTCCTGCGATTCGTGACAACTGCCGATCGCTCCTCGACCAGACTGTTGATCATCTTTTTGGCCGTTTCTACCTGAACAAGGAGAGCCAGTGCTTCATTACATGAACAAGAATTCCTGGTGGTGCTTAGCATAATATATATATACACATATTCAAAACATTTCAGAACCACTACTCTCTGGTGATGTAACATAGCTATTAAAAATGACCCATTTATAGAGGGTTTACCAGACTACAAAATGGTGATTTCAATAGTTAGGTTAAATTGCCAGAGAGTAAACCATCCCCTTTTTCAGGAACCCATGTCCGAACACAAGTCGTGGACCCATGGATACCCAGCCCATGCCAGCAATGCCACACCTGATCCGGCTTGCCACCCAAATAGACGCGACAAACTTCCTGACAAATGCGATGAATCAAGACATGCCATGCCAGAGAAATCCTCTGCTTTGAATCTCCAAAAAACATTCAGAAATGGCGGCTTGAAAATGTGGATGGCGAGGAAACCTAATCTTTTCAGGTCTGAAAACCCACTCCGGCACCTCCAACTTTTCAATCTTCACCTGGGCTCCACTTTTGGATCGTACCTGGCCATTCGTCACTGGCAGTACAAATGCCAGCCCTTCTCTGAAAGGGCAAGGAGCTGAGCTGCGTCATGGAGCCACCACTCTTGGAATTGAGTATTTCTCATTATATAGTTCTCAGTAACAGTGGATAGTCCAGTCACCACCCCAGTCACACCCCAGTCACCAGCATCCCTGTCATCGCCTCAGAAATTTGGTGTCCTTTCGAGCCGATGATGCGGCCACAGACCGCGATGGGGAATTCCAAGCGCTCATCTTAGTCAATACATCACTGGAGGGAAGGGAGAAAATCCACAGAAAAACCTTGGTTAAACCAGAAACCATGGATGATATTGGGATGTACCAGCCAAAGCTTGCTGTTTTAACATGAAAATTTGCACCACCATTTTTCCATGACAACTTTGAGGAAGAAACCAGCAGTGACCGGCGCTGCTTCAGACCAGGATTTAGCTGGTGAATAGCTGGGATCAACATGAAGGTTCACCTCCCAAGACATGAATTGAATTGACCCATTGACCCATTGACCACATTTCCAGATTTGATTCTGAGGTTGCAGCCCCTCACTTCAAAGTTCATGGTGAAACCAAAATCCGTAAAGGCCAATCCCCAATGGCGACCACCAAGTTTCCACCACTATGTTCGGAGGAAAAATGACTAGCATCAACATGGTGATTTTGATCACCCTGGCCCTAAGCTGCACACCCTCTTCACCTGTCCTCAGTGCCGTTTCTTCGACTTGTCAGTGCTCACCGCTTTGCAGTAGCCAAGCATAGCAGTTTTGACTATGAGACCAGCTACAGAAGATACAGAAGTTGCACCCCTGCCCCAAGGCCGGCACTTGGGCAGTTCAGTGATCTGCCGTGCTTCATCTGCTAGGAACTCCACCAGCTCCCTGAAGCAGGCTGCAAAATATTAGGGGGAGTCAGATTGATACGGGGAATTCTTTGTATATTGTATGTATGTATCTTTTATATATATATATATGTATATATGTATATCCATATTTCTTGTTGACGGAAGGTGAAGAAAAGAGAAAAAGAGAGAGAGAGAGAGAAAAAAAAACATACATGTCTATGTATGAGGTCATATGTATGGTTATTCCTATGTCATATCATATGAATACCCATGCACAACCATATACAAACATCAGTGTAACCAGCCAAATTGCACGAATGATGGGCAAGAATGGGATGTGTGCCCAACAGCAACGGGCATAGCAACGTGGCTATCGAACTACCAGTTGAAGTGCCGCTTTGCCGAAAAGAAATAGACATTCTTCCGCTGATCCCCATCAAATGACATTCTATCGTCTATCTGACATTTATGTATACTATATTATATGGACAAATATATATATATATATGATATATATATATGATATATATATATATATGATATATATATATATATGATATATGAGGTGTATAATATATATATATATATTATATTATATATATATTATATATATATTATATGTATATTTTATATGTATATATTATATGTATATATTATATGTATATATGTATATATGTATATATTATATTATATTATATTATATTATATTATATTATATTATATTATATTATATTCAGTATACTTCAATATTCTATCTGACCTTTATCTGGCATTCTACCTGTCATATTCTGACGTACAGTATTTCCTGAAGTTCTATGTGACTGACATTATATTCTGATGTATTATCTGACCTTCTATCTGACATCCTATCTGACATGTTATCTAATACACATTCTGGCATTCTATCTGAGCTTTTATCTCGCATTCTACTACATGACACTCTACATGACATCTAATATGACATTTTATCTGACATTCTATCTGACATTCTCTCTGGTATATATTCTGGCCTTTGACCTGATGTTCCCAACAATTGAATTGATATTCGGCGAGCACTGAAAGAGCAAGGGCTGCTAAAATCCTGTGGTTGAAGACCTCATGTTCCCCACAAATGAAAAAATTGCCAAGTCCGAAATGAGGAGTGTCCACTGGTTTTCTTGGGGATTCTCAACTGATTGAAAAAACGATATTTTACAGTACTAGGTATATAGCATAAGGCTCTTTCGATCGCCAACCAACCATCGTTTTACTACATCCCCATATTTGGGATGAGTAAGACCCAGATGACGCTTATATCAGCATCAAATCACGAAACTGGATGTGGATGGTATGGATAAGATGTTCCCCATATTTTCCAGGTGTCCATAGGTGTCCTACTTTTCGACCTTTTTTGGGTGTTGCTCTCTGGTTCAACCAAAAAAATCGCCTCGCAGAGGCCACTTGCTCGTCGCTGCCGGCAATGAGCACTTTGCACATCTCCTGGGATTTTTCCACGGAACTGGGGATATCATGGGGTTTTCTGTGGTGTCCTACAATGGAAAGGGATGGTTTAGGGGAAAGGGATGGTACCTAACATTTTAGGAAACACCCATGGCTGGTTAATTGTGATCTTTCAAAAAATGGGCCCTCTGGTAATTTGTGACACCTTGCTATGGAAGAACGATGGCCCGATTAGTTCGATGATTCGCCGATTAAAACTGGTGACTTTCCATAGCAAGCTGCTAAATTACCAGAGGGTGAACCAATATGAATCTGATAGCAGCTTTCATGATATCGCAAAAGAAGCCAAGAGATGGGGAGAAAACAGAAAAATGCAGAAAAATGATAGTTTTCTACCGCAATTCATGAACGTTTGCGGATCCCAGCAAGATCATCAAGAAAAGAGACCATTGAAACAATTGAAGTTCAAGAAACACTTGAAGCAACAAAATGGAGGATATAGAACCAATACCACCAAAAGAAACCAAGCATTTAAGCCAAACCAAGCGGTGATGAATATCGGACGTAGCAGGCCATGTCACCAACCAGTTACAACCGCTACATAGACATAGGTAGTAACTGTGGAGCGCCTCAAAGGAAAAAAGCTGTTGGACCCCCTAAAACCATGCAGATTCATCTACGATAAACTACGTAGCATTACATCACATGACACCACTGCAGCACTGGTACCAGGCCTGATGTTTCTTCACCTGAATCTTTGCGCCGCTCGCCGTCCGCACCTGAGAAAGTTGCTGCAATGGAAATTTTGTGATATCTTCCAAATATCTTCCAAATTTCCAGGACTGTCCGGATTGATCCTCGGAAATTAGGAGTTGAAAGTGGAAAAATGGAGCGCCTTTTTAGAGCTGATCATCCAGTTTTCTCCTAATTGATCGCCCCAAATTCGGAGCTCATCATCTTAAAGTGGAAGCCTCACCACTCCAAAAATGGGGGGGGTTCTCAAAAAGGGAGATCTCCAAAACCATGGGTTTCAATACTTAAAAATGGTCAAATGGTCATTCATTACATTGACTTGGATGATTTGGGGGTACCCCAATGACTTGGGACACCTCCACATGCTTCACAGTCGCCCATGGAGCCCCTGTCCGTCGCCGAGCCCCTCCTGTCCTCGTTGATCTTGGCTCCACGGGAGCCGATCAAAGCACCGATGATGCTGGCGGGATATTCCAAGCTGGCAGCAATCTCGCTCTCCTGCGCCAGCAAAATCACAAGTTCCCCCTGGACCATGGATAAACATCCCATGGATGATAAACATATATAAACATCACCTCTTTATCCAATTTGAAAAATGACATGTGGATTGGTTTGGTGCACATGCCTCAACTTCCAGATCATCCAATTCTTACTCGTGTTGTTGGTCTGTTTGGCTTGGTGGCATCTCATGCTTTACTTCCTCAAGTGAGTTTGCCCACGAAGGCCGAAACGGATTGAGAGTTTGCACTTGATCTTCCAGACTTTGTGTTTGGCTGCAAGTGGGTAGGGTCATCATCGTATATGACAAATAGAAGCACTCCCCTACCAAGAAGGATCCAAAAATCCCTGACTTCAGCGCTCTAAGCTTCAGCCTTTTTAAAGCCGCAACGCATGCGGAGCATTGGCGCCGTGGCGGGTCATCGGGGAAACCCTTCGACGACTGTGCCTTAGTCTCTATGGCAGGCGTCTCTTTGGCCCACCTTCTCCCTCATAGGTCTGGTAGCAACTTGGGACAAGGGCTGCTGCATATATCTGTTTTCATGATTTTTCGGGCTTATCTCACATGGCTTTGGTGCGGCCTCAAGTTGTACCGCTATCCCACGAGGGTATTCAGCGGATTTTTGCGATGGCATACTCAATGCCTCTCTGGCTCAAGAGTCGTCTGATTTTCTGGAGGGACTTGGAGTCATTCCAGCCAGTTGCCGGGAGCAGGACGAATTGCAAATGTTTGATCTGTTTCCTGTGGCGGGTGTTGGCCAAAACTGCGACCCTGGTCATCCTGGTCACCAAAATTGCTGGCCAATGGCTCCCCCGCGAAGATGCTACACTTGGCTTTGACCCATCCCCAACCACTCCACAAGAATCAAAAAAGAACATAGTCATTAACATTCGGCCGAGTTTCAGGCAGCCAAAGAGGCGTTCACCAACATCCTGTCCAGTCATGTTTTCCAAGTTCAGCCGTTCCACCGTGCTGATGACTTTGGGCTGCGCCACAAACCTGCAGCCAGACTGGGACCCTTGGAGTGACCCGTGGCCCCATCTGATGTGCAACGTGGCGCAACCCGGCCTCAATGTGACCGTCAGGGCATCTGTCTTGTAGTAGATCCTGGAATGTGCCATAGTCTCTGAGCACCCTAAGATATGAAAATTGCTCCTAAAATCAAGGTCACTACTTGTACCCGTTCACCCCCTATCCCAACACATCCCAACAAATCCCAGTACATCCCAGGTCCCTCTGTCCTGCCAGCGCGGTTCCTTCTGAAGCCACCCAAAACGCTGGGATCCAACGGGAGACTCATCTCGCGACAGCGCCAATAGCAGTCATGGCTCACCGACAGCATCCCCTTTGAGGCCGGCCGGCATTGGGCCAAGTCGAAGAAGGGCAGCCCCGAAACGATCGTCGCCATAGTTTCCTCATGGGACGGCTCAACCCCCCAAATATTGTATTATATACATATGCATTACACATATAATATATATATATATATACGTATTATATATATACATATATCCGTGTGTGTGTGCAAAAAGTGATGAGTTTTGAATAGTCTGAATACTAAAAATGCTTGTGGATGACTTGGTACTCCATTTTGACGCATACCCATCTCAAGACATCAGCACCGCCACCATGGGATAGCAGTCTACACAAATCTCGAAAAGTGTATGTTTTTGTGGGCGGACCACGAAGGCACCCTTCACCACACCCCACTAGTACTTACACTTGGAGCATCATCAATACTTGACCTGTATCTGGCGAGCATAGCTGGCATTGTGTTGCCCTGCTTGTCGATTGCATACCTTCTAGGTTATTCTAGATATACTGCAGCCAGTTCCTAGTGGGATGATCCTTCAAGTACCCAGATTGATCTCCAAGCTTCCCGCGGCAGCAGGCCCCCAGTCCACGTTCGCCCACGGCGGCTGCGCCGTGCAGTGGCCGGTGCCACGGGGAGCACTGCTGGAGGCGGCGCTGGGAGTGCCTTGGCTTTGGCCAACAGTGCCTTCACCCGGCGGCTGCGCTCAGGGATCGGCACCTGTGCTCACCAGTGATTTGATGATCTGGGAAGGTGGATTTATGGCTATGCCGGGAGGATACATAATATTAATATTATATATATAGTGTATATAATTATTTTTAAATATATATATATATAACATATTATAACACCGTGTAACATTGTAATGACTAATGTCGTCTATGCTATGTGTATATACACTTAGGCTAAAGTGCTAAAGGGGCAATATGAGGCTAGAAAAAACTGAAGGTGTTTGGGTGGAAAACTCTACAAGCGTCATCCATCTCCCTGCCTGTTGCAAGTTCGCGATAGCTGATCTGATTTGTGCAGACGATTCAAGGCCCAAAGTAGAACAGAATCTCCTAGGCATGGGTCACCCGCTGGCTTTGCCAATGGGAGGGGCAACCTGTTTATGGTGAAAATTACGATAAACAAAAAAAAAACGGGGTACCCGATTTTCACACAAACTTACTTACTGTTACTTGGAAGGCAAGTATCTGGGAAAAACTAAACCTCTGCCTGTCGATTGGAACAGTTCTCCTGGTCAAGCTTCGTCGATCGGAGGGTCAAGACTTTACCCAGAAAAGCTGAGAAACTTCAAAAACTGATTCTCCGATTTCCGCCAGAATTTCTCCAAGTGAAACTTTACAGGAAACTGAGATTTGAATGTAAAACTATTTAAAAATGATGCTGTCCCGGAACGTTGAACCTCCAATCAGTTAAAGCTGCTATCTATGAATCTGTCCCCCTGACTTTCCAAATTCTTCCTAAACTTGGACGAAAGGTATATAAACTTGCATGGCACCCTTATGTGTCATCATAAAAACATCAAAAGCCCAGGTTTCTTGCACACAAAAACTAGAGAAACAGTAGTAAAAATGCCAAAACCCATCTCTTCCAGGATTTTTCTTCCCAGGAAATCCATGCCCAAAATGATTCCTCCGAGCTACTGATGGACCTCGGAACCAAGCGCGCCCCGTGCCGAACACTTTTGGAGCTGATCCTCTGCATTCAACAGGCGGGCGGCCAGCGTCCTTGTTCGAAGCTGGGACGAGTAAAGGTACGGTGAATACCTCAAAAATGACAAGATAGATATGGCTACATATCATGTATCTGTCTATTTATATATATATGTATGTATAGGTATAGTATAATTATCTTTATATATGGAGAGACTAATGTGTATATATAATATATACTTAATACATATGGAAAGATTGAATTATAGTCATCGTCATGTTCGGATACGAAGATCACGAAGCTGTTCTCTGGATTCGCAGCGCAGCTAAACATGTTCAACCGCATCGGCAAGCGACTTTTGGTCAAGACACAACATGACCAAAAAAAAGGGAAACGTGGATATGTCCAAAAATATCGGATACATTCACATTTAGTGGGCCCAAACATACAAGACAGGATCTTTCAATCGAATTTCAATGGATATTTGGCCAAAATTGTTGATGTCTGAATTTCACATATTTCACCTTGGCCTATTTTTAAAGACAAACCCAGATGTTAAGCTCATCATTCCAAGTCTTGTTGATCTCTTGGAGGACTTTGTCGAAGTATTGCTTCGCCTAGCGCAGCGGAGAAAGGTGTGGGTCCTGGATGGTCCTGGTCCAGCCTGGACCCTGGAAGCGGTGCTCCGGTTCAAGCCTATGAAAACCTACAAGTTGGCAATTCGAAAGCATCAGTTTTGAATATCTGTTTTATGATTTGGGTTTTTTTTGCTATGAATCCTTTCAAAATCCATCATTTCTTCTCTACAAATGGCTGATCCTCCATTGCCCTGAGGCTGTCATATCCATCCCCAGGGGGAAATCTGAAACTGCCAGTTTCACCAAGCAGTTAACATTCCAACATCAGCCACCAAGTACAGCCGGGCCAGTGGCCTTTTTCTTCTCCCATGCCACGGTATTTTTGTAGCTGGCCACCACCTCCTCGAGCTTCCGCTTGCTGGTCACCGCACTCATCTCGTCGCGCATCTGGGTAGCCAGCTCCAGGCGTGGGGTGAAGAGCGTCAGCCGGCAGGGAATGCGCTCGCCCCCCTGGGAGGTTCCCCAAAGTGGGTCTTGGGGCTGAGGAACCTATCAAAAATAGGAAAAAAATTGGAAAAAATATGGCAATGTTGCTGGGGAAAAAGGATGAACCTCTGGATTAACACCGAAAAAAAAAAACATTGGGAAATTGATGTTAGACCATGATAGACCACTAGATTTCGGGGGTATATATACCCCAAGTTTGGATGAAGCCACATGAAGAGGACTCAGAAATTGGTTCAGTGCAGTCACAACACGAGCCCACGCTGGGCGCCAAGCAAAACTGCTGGGATGTTATTCAGAACCATAGGTGTGTAACTCTGTGGCAGGATGGATTTTGTTTATCTCAAGAACTGCTCCCAAAATGGAAATCAAACCTTTCAATATTCATGTCGTTCCCCTTGAGTTTACGCCGCTGACCACGAAGATCCAGCCTCGATCTTCTTGAAGGGCACTTGGTAGCGGAACATGAGCCTGGAAAGACCACCTTTTAGGACCATTGATCTGGGATCCATGTTGGTTTAAATCATGTTTCGCCCACCCAAACAAAGTTGGGAAGTATCTCACTCCATAAACCATACCCCATAATTATACCTGATGGCTTGCCAATTTTCCATGGTCAAATTGATTGGGTTTGCCACATGACAATATTTACCAAACAAAAAAAACATAGTTCTCTGCATTTACATCTCGACATTTATAGCAACCCTCAAAAAAAGATAGAACCAGGTGTCCAATGACTTGCAGATGCGTTCCCTTCATGTTTTCCAACATGTTCCGTCACTTTTCAAAATGGATCACCCGGCGCCTGATATCCGGCTGCATCTCCAACAAGGCCTTCAGCTCGGAGTCCAACAGCGGGACCCGCCCAGTTTCTCCGTCGGCCTTGCTGCGCTGCAGTCGGCGCTTGGCTTCATGCCGCATAGCCTGAGATCAAAGGGACCAGTGGGACGACCACGAGAATCCAAATCCAAAACAGATTGCATTTGATGCGTACTATACATAGTATATATATATCATTGTATCATACCACATTATATTATATATATATATTATATATATATTATATATATATTATATATATAATATATATATTATATATATATATTATATATATTATATATATATTATATTATATATATATTATATATTATATAATATATATATATATATTATATATATATATATTATATATATATTATATATTATATATTATATATTATATATATATTATATATTATATATATATATTATATGTATATCATATATATATAATATATAATATATAATATATAATATATTATATATATCATTGTATCATACCAAATTATATATATATCATTGTATCATACCAAATTATATATATATCTCATTGTATCATACCACATTATATATTTATATCATATATATATATATATATTATATATATTATGTTATGTATTATATTATACAATATATATATAATATTATATATATATATTATAATATATATATATTATATTATATATATATTATATTATATATATATATTATTATATATATTATAATATATATATAATATTATATATATATTATAATATATATATTATAATATATATATAATATAATATATATATATTATATAATATAGTATAATATATATATATATTATATATAATATAATATATATAATATATAATATAATATATATATATATATAATATATATATATATTATATTATATATATATATTATATTATATTATATATATATTATATTATATATTATATATATATCATTGTATCATACCACATTATATATATGTGTCATATATATGAGCTCCCTTCAAAATCCTTTACATCTATTTACATCTCAGAAAGTACTATTATCATGGTTCACGCTTTTGGAAGGGACCCTATCGCGTTACAGTGTTTCGTGCACATCGACAAAAGTGTTTCTGCAGTAAACAGCAGTGACCATTTCTACTATGACTCATACGGAGGTTTCCGAAATGGTAGTACCGCGAAAATCATCTATGTTTAAGTAATTTTAATGGGATTTGTCATTATACTCTATATATATGGGTATGGGTCAAAATTAGGTACCCCAATAATTGGATGGTTAATACTAAACTAGACTAACATCTGTGGTCCCCTAGGTCTTCCATTTTGACCCACATCCATATATATATATATGTATACCCATTTTGAGGTACGTATATTAATGGAAACTCCCATATGACTTGATGTTTTTGTTGGAGGTCCGCTTGGTGACCTTGGACCAACATCGTCCTGGCAGCTGTCAGGGAGGCTCTCCACGACAAGGCCTGCGCCAAGGACGTCGTTGCTGTGGTCACAACCGTCAAAGTGCTCCAACTCATCTGTACCTTAATGGAGTTTCAAGTGGGCCCCAAAGCCAGTAACTTTCACTAAACCAAGCCAAATGGTAGTTACAGTAAAGTCAAAGGCTGTTAAAGGGACTAAATATGTGGATTCTATTGAATTTCCAACATAAGGATGTAAACCTAGTGACCTAGTAAAATAAGGCCGCTGGACATCCCCGAAATCAACCGAATAGACGACTGCATCAAGCTAGAGGCTAGAGGTGTCAATTTTGCTTTCACTCCGCTCCTTTGCTTTACATGTCCCCCATGCTCAAGCTCAGGCTCAGATTTGCTTAATCTTAAGCGGGTCCAACAAAATGATCATATTCCCCATATTTCCCCATCAATTCGCATGATTTTTCTAAATTTCGCAAAATCACCATTTCAGCATTTCAGCTTCAAGCCAAGTGCCCAATAGCCTCGAGGTCTGGCAAACATGCAGGGATCCAGGTTCTCTTTGGTGGTCCCCCGGGAATCTTCCTGCGCATCTCCCGCGCCAGCGGAGAGCAGGTTGCGCAGGGCAATCAGCGTCTGGCTGGGCTGCGCCAAGGAGATCTCTTGCCAGTGGAAGAGGTAGCCGTGCAGCAAGAGCTGCGCCTCCTGGCTGACCACACCAGCCATAAGACCATGGTTGAAATGACATCTCAGCAATTGTACCTTCACATAGTACATGAATGTCTACATGTGCGCGTGCTCTGAGGCATTTCCTGTGTATACATACATGATGCGCACATAAATGCCAGTCTACAAGCGTGAAAGTTATAGGAAACGGGTCATCATGGAGAGATCTGGGAAACCAATGGAAACCATCCCAGGAAAGACACTGTCCTCAAAGGTGAGTACCTCACCAACTAATTCCAACTGAAACGACTTTGTAGGGATGGCATTCCCCCAGCCATGTTTAGATGCCGATGAACCGTCATTATATACATATATATTATATATATTATATATATTATATATTATATATATATATTATATATCTATATATATTATATATTATATATATATATATTATATATATATTATATTATATATATATTATATATATTATATATTATATATTATATATTATATATTATATATTATATATTATATATTATATATTATATATTATATATATACATATGTATCGATTGACGCTGGGATCGCCATGTTTTGAGCCCAGCTTCTGCTTCGTACCCTGCTTTCTGATCTCCGCCGTGCTCTTCTTCCCAGCTGCCCGAACCATGGCTGCCACCCAGCTCCACGTCGTAGATGCGGCGAGCATCGCTGTCGGCCAGAAGCTCAAAGGCCTCCCAGGGAGATGGCAGCAAGCCAAAATGGGCATGTTCATTGTTAGAATCTTCAGTCAGAAATCTAGATTTTTTGGAGAACAAATGCTTTGGAGCTGGCTCTAGTCAAGTTTCAGTCAAACGTCTTTCAACGACCCTTTAGCTCTGCCTCCTGGCCGTGGGTAAAATGGGACTAGATCCAGAGAAAGAATCCCATGCATGAGAGATGCAGCACGTCCCCACTGTGTTGCTTGTCTGAACTATCGTTTTCTGGGTCGTAGTGACAGCGTGGTGCAAAGGGCCCGGGCCCTTCACGAAGTACATGAGTGTCATGAATGAGGTTTTCATCTGTTTTCATGCAGTCCATGTCCCTATAAATCCCCATTATATCTCAATAAATCCCTATAAATCCCCATCACCATCTCCATCAATCAGGCCTCAACGATCTGCTGATAGAGTGCAACAGCTTCTGCTGCTTCCACGGGAGTCGGTTGTCGACACAGGCGCAAAACCAGTCGGTCCGGGTGCGTTTCCAATGCGCGCTGCCTGTATGCCTGGCGTATTTGCTGTGCGTTCGCAGATCGGCTGATTTTCAGGATCTCATAGTGGTCCTGCGGAGCTTCCGGGTCAAATTTCTGATGGCGCCAAAACTGTCAAGTGCTTCAATCTAGAAGACAAATGTCAATGTAGAAGCAGCAATAACAGAACTGGCTGGTGGTTTCAAGTCCCCATAGAAACATCAGTCGACTATGATTATCATCCCGGGTATGATGAAAGGAAGCAGATATTGGAGACAGGTTGATACTGATTCTTGGTACTGATTGGTGTTGATTGATATTGATTGATATGGGCTTTTCCTGAAATGGGGGGGGTCCCTAAATTATCCATTTTAATGGGATTTCCATTAAATTATACACCATCCAGCTATTGGGGTATCCCCATTTCTGTAAACCCCCCATATGGATTCACTGCCAAAAACTGAGAGAAGGTCGACTGAGAACGAGTCCTTTGGCTTCGACTTTTGTTTCTTTCTGGATTCGTCTAAAGCCAGGCACAAGCCTCGCTTGCCCATTCTGCTTGAGCCAAGCGACTTCCCAGCTGCGACCGAGATACGATATGATACAACGCCCATCATTCCCAGGATGGAAAGTCAATGCTTCAAACTTGAAACCACCAATCAGTTGGTGTATTGGTGAACTCATAAGTATAAGGCCCAGTGGTTAGGGAAAAATCCTACCACTGGCATGACTAGGAAGAAGAGGTGGCCTACCAGTAAGGCATGGTTGGAAGTTGGAAGCTTCCAAAATGGGGATGGGTCAAAACCCTGGTACCTGGTGAACCCCAAAATAGCTGGTAAATGGATGTTCATCCCCCTAAAAATGGTATGTATAGGTATTGATCCATACCCAAATAAATGGGAACCTCCCAGTTGGCGCGAAATACCCCATCCATCTCGCCTCAATCTGATCGCCTTAGATCACCAAACTGCAAACCCAAGGGCCCAGGAGTATCCAGGGGTCCCATCAAGTCCCAAGAGTGTGGATGTCTACCATTCATTATCAAAAAATATGGCAGGTTTATATGAGATTAACATCAGCCAACCAACAAAATGTATAACCTTGTGCACGTACGGGTCCTTGCTTCATGTTCATCCAGCCAGTTTTCCCGCACGGGAAGAAACAAAGAAGAACTTTCTTAGAGAACGGAGGTCATCGGAGGTCCATGTCCGGAAGGGCGGGAGTTGTAACCTGCTGACCTCAAGATGTACCAAGATCCCAGACCCATAGGACGATCCAAGCTGACCTGCGCAGAGGCTATGATTTTTTCCAGTGGAATCACGTTGAAACCATGGCTCAGCGATGCTCAGCGTCAACTTCCGGTGGCTCACTTGAGGTAAGAACTGGGACATTGTTTGTTTTTTCTGTGACAGGACTCAGGACTCAGGACTAGAGTGCAGAACAGTTCGGAATGGTGAGGTTTGACTGCCAGTCCCTACCATCGACCATGGCACCGGAAACGTGCTGTGTCAATGTTTTATAGTTCCAGCAGACAACAAAGACAGAATTTGGATCCATTTGCGGATGGGTCAAAACCCTGGTACCTAGTGAACTCCAAAATAGCTGCTAAATGGATGTTCATCCCCCTAAAAATGGTATGTATAGGTATTGATCCATACCCATTTGGCACTTCAGAAGCTAAAGGCCCCATCCCATGTCCCAGCTCCGCACCCGATCTGCTTGTTCTCGGATCATTTCTTTTGCACGCTGCACCTATGCAGAATGTAGGGCCAGAGCCGAGATGAAGGAAGGTTGGTTTGTAAATCATTGCTAGTGCTAAGAACAATCATGTAATGGAATTTTTATTATAATATTAATATTATAGAAAGAATGGGACAAATGGAATATGTAACCAACTTAATCTGATTTGGGTTTGTCAAAAAAATGGGATACGGGTACCATGAATACCCTCAAAATCACCTCTTACCATCATTTTTTGACCCATGTCACAGCATATGTCCCTGGTTGGGAAAGGCAACACTTCAAAATATTGCCCAAGCTGGATGCACCGATAGCCAAAAAGCCATGACAACACCTTTAGGCAGCCTGTTCTTTTCGGATTCTGCACTATCCTCACGTTCAGTGCTCGAATTTTCCCAGAAATGGTGTTGGGCCGCAAATCTCCAGTATGTCATATTTTGATTATTTTGGGACGATCAGAATCTTGATCCCCAAGCCCAACAGAAAAGACCCACCAACTAAGAAGCCCATCCAAATCTGTGACATTCTGTGACCATCACAAAGGAAAATCGGAAATCGATTCGGCTTTGTCTGAAAATACAAACACAATTCCATCCCATGGTTGATCATCCCGCCGGGTGGGTATTTGAACGTGGCGGCGTGGCTTTTTTGATGTTTGTGGATTTTGTGTCGCTTGGCGTGTTTCAATGAAAATTATGTTGTTTTGTCAAATTCGTGTCTCACAATTCCATTGATTGTTTGTTTTTCTAAGGACTGGCCATTAAATATGGATATTAGTCGCAGAAGAGTACTCCTGTTTTGGCGGGTCGTTTCACAAAGTGACAGCGGGGCCATGGTCTTGGCACCTGAAAGCGGTTCGTTCTTTTGCGCCAAGGTTTGGTCACATCTGTGCTAAGGTTTTGCCAGTCAAAGACATCAGAAAATCTCCTTATGTCAGAAATTCCCAGCGCCATTGCCACGCTCGGACATATGTCCAGATGGCTTTGTTGATGTCTCACCGGTCTTGGGAACTGCACACAGACGATGGCATGGTTTGATTTGCAAGCTTCCAGCAACTGTCCACAGTGCCTGTGTGGATCTCTACAGTTTGACGTCCATGAACAGCAAGCCGCAGTTTTTTTGCGAACAAATTCATTCTTTCGATGGCTAACGCTTTGATGCCTCAAGATGTGAGAGAAGTTAACAACTTAGTTGAATGTTTGGAATGCTAAAGACGTTAATACCCCCACCCCACCCCACCCCCACCCCGTGCAAGATATGAGAGAAGTAGAAATAGTGACAACTACGTGTTCGGTTGTCCACCCGTAAACCACATGTTTTTTCCCAAACTCACTGGACATCCACCCAGTGCCTGTTCCTCGGTGCCGCTGATCCGGAACCTTCCCAGTTTGCGGCGTCCCATTTTTTGATATGTTTTTGGGATAGCTTGAAGATGTAGTAGTCAAATGATCTTTGGAAGTCTCAGCTTTCAACGCCTCTTGGAATGAGAAGTTCCACCATTCCACTTATTTGCCAAGATGTTCTACACCCATATGAAGATCACAACTTCTCCCCAAGTTGAACGCATCTTCCATAGACCTGTGAAATAAAACCCAAGTCACTGAAGTCACTAAAGTACATCCAAGTCATGCCCTATTGCTGAGGCGACAAGCTCACAGTGATCTTCATCGCGGTCCTGCTGAGCAACCAATGTCGGGTGGCAGACCTGTTGGTTGGGTACATCCCAAATTCTTGGACATCTAGATTTCTTCATGATCACTGAATCAAAAAAGGGGTGAGATGTGACATTTGCAAGTACTTGATCCGGCACCTAAAGAAAACCTCCAAAACAGGAAATCGTACAATGTGCCTGGGTGTGTATTGGCAGACCCAATCTGCTACACATATGACTGTGGGTCAAAACCCAGTCCTGATTTTCGCATCAAAATGGCTGGCTCTTATGGATGTTCATTTCCCCAATTCAGATGGTCCCCTAGGTATTGACACATGCTCATAGCTACACCACTGGATACCCTCTGGAAAATTGCTAGTTTAATGGACAAAATGATCCATCAAATTGTTCCCAACAGCAGTGACTGTCAGGCTGTTAGGTCTCGATCTCTGGGAGTAGTGCGTCGTTTTTTTGCCAAACCCAAAAACCGGAACAGAAACAGAACGTTGGAACCCCTGAACCTTGGAACCTGCTGTTGGGTTCGGTCTCCTCTGCTTCGACACGCGCGCCGCTCTCTTGTCGAATCGTCTTGATGATGCTGCCACCCTTGCCGATGACCTGGGCGAAACCAGGCAATAGCAATTCTCTTCGGGTTGGAGGGATTTGTTCCTGGGAACCCTGGTTTTTACAGGTTTTTACCATCAAATAGGGGTTTCCAGTAAATGTTCCCAGTATCCAATTCCGGGAGATTTGGATCAAACTGTTTTAATTCACATGAAATAGCCACTCATGGGGAACATTCCCCCAATCCTTACCATCATGGTACGGTCGTAGTGAGATCGCTTCGATTCCAACCACCCAACGAACATGTGATGCTTGAATCTTCTGGTACAAGGTCCGTAAGGATAGCGAGCCCTGCAAAACAAAAGCTTTTAAAGAGTGCGGACTGAAAATGATTTTTCTGTAAGATAAATCATAACCTGCAGCAGCTCTTCATGATGTGGCAACCAGGCTGGTTTCTCCAATCATTATCCACTTCCCCTTGACTCCATACCCTCTCGCATTGGTTTTCTGCTAGGTGCCCCCTCACCTCCACTGTAACCAAAGCTTGACTACATGAATCATATGGAGGTTTCCTAAGTCATGGGGTTGCCCCCAAATCATCCAAGTCATTAGACCATTTTAGTATTGAAAACTATGGTGACTTGGGGATCCTCCATTTTCAGAAACTTTATATGGTGTTTTCTTGGTAACTTCCCTAGCCATGGCAGCATCCAATTCCAATTGGAAGCCGCACCCGGCCCATCAAGTTGCGTCTCACCAAGACAGAGTCGTTGCCTCGGTCTTTTTTGATGCCATGGTGTTGACTAAGAGCCTAACTGAAATCTTGCTAGGTTAGTAAGTCTCCTAAGTGGATTGTCCTATTGATAAGTGGGTTATGACTTGTGACCCCACTTACTGACCAGATACTAACTGCAATTAGTCTTTTTGTTGCATATCCGAAAAAGAGGGATGACGGGAAACATGAGGACTGTGATGGTGATGGCAATGCTGATGGTGCTGATGGTGCTGGTGATGATGATAAACCCCGTTGCTTTTCCGCAACAGCGTGATTTGAGGTTCCGCTGTGGCGGTTCCGGTGTGCGTTCCAGCGAGGGCTCGGGGAACCAGGGTGTTGTAAGGGATAGTCGACCATTGCTGGGGATTCCCAACAGTCGGGTGCAAGAAATCACCCATGGACCTGAATATAACCCTCCCCGAAAATGTGGTTGCGTGGATTATGGCAGCTTTTCAAATGCATATGTTTGGGGAAAACATGTGTATAATATATATACATTATTACATGCATACACTATACCTATGTACATATTTATATATATATATATACTATACCTGTATTGTATATACATGTATAATCAGAAATGTGTACACTATAGTCACTATATGATGACTATGTGTATCTACACGTACACATGTACAATTCTGCATGTATAGTAATACATCTAATTACGTATATACATGTAATTTACATACACAGTATATACGTGTGTACATCTATTGTAATCATCTCAATTATAACATGATTTGAAAACCCCCCAGCCTTTCTTAGCTGAGCGACAACTGCCCTGCGCAGGGCTTCTGCTACGGCTACGGGCCACACGTTTGCGCCTGGGCGCGGAGCGGAGATACTTTTTGGGGATGGTCCTTTTTTTAGTGGGGAAATGGGTGGGAAATGGTTGGCAAATGGTTGGAACATGAAGGTTGATGTTAATTGCTTGGTATAAATCGCTAGATGGGTGTCTTTTCCAGTTGATCTCCCAGTTGATTACAACTTGGCATTTATCCTGAACTCGAGGGATCCTCCCAGAAACCCACAACTTCGTCCCTTTTTTTCTTTGGTTTGAGTGGTTTGATATTTATGCGTTGTTTTTTTGGGGTGTCAAGTTTCACTACTGTATATTTGTGGCGTGCGATTTCCCATCATGGATTGTGAGAATCTCCGAAGATTCTTGGATCGTATAATCCCATATATCCCCTCAAATTGGGAGCTGAAAGATGCCATTGGCCCCTTGGGGAAGTGATTATAAATTCCCTTGAAGACTATGTATGCGTTCGAATTTCAGCGCCGACCACGGAAGGCCAATTTTTCTATTGACCATCCCATTTCGGGGGACCCAATTTTGACCCATACTGGCAAACTTCCCACAAATTTACCGTGCTCTCAAGTCACACATATATATATATATATAAATATAGCTGTTATATGCCGTTATGATCCCCAGCAAATCACCACCATTCACAGGATTTCGGCAATTTCGCGCATCTGTTTGCTTTCACCTTGTGGTTTCAACCCCTGCTGAAAACATCTGGAAGTCGATCGGAGGATCATCACCATCACCATCACCATCACCATCATCATCATCATCATCATCGTCATCACAATCATCAACATCATCATCGTCGTCGTCGTCGCCGCCATCATCATCATCACCATCATCATCATCATCATCATCGTCATCACAATCATCATCATCATCATCGTCGTCGTCGTCGTCGCCGCC